CCACCCTCAGGCTTGGGAGCTTCTGGCGCAGGAGCCGGTGTAGCAGGAGCCTCAGGCTTAGGCGCCTCAGGTGCAGGAGCCTGTGGCGCAGGAGTCTCGGGTTTAGGAGCTTCAGGTGCAGCTGGAGCATCTTGCCAACCACCCTCAGGCTGCTTGGTCTCTGCTGGCTGACTTTCACACTGAGTGATAGTCTCCTTGATCGTCTCGGCAGGTACAGTGACCTGTTCGGTCTTGGTCTCGACCTTGGGTGGTGCCTGCTCCGTAATGGTTTGCGCTGGAGGCGCTGGAGCAGTCTCGACCTTAGTCTCAATCTGAGGCGGCGACTTCTCAGTGATGGTTTGCGCTGGTGGCGCGGGCGCAGCCTCAGTGACGGTCTGGGTTTCCGTCACGGTTTCCGGCTTGCACTCCTTCTGAGTCTCCTGGGGTACCTCAGGCACGACGACGGATGATGTCTTTCCGTACTGGCCTTGGTTGTCAGACCAGCCACCACCACCGGGTTGCTGCGTCTCTTGAGGCGCAGCCTCTTCGGGCTTGCCGCCTTCCTGGCCGGCAGGCTGGACGTCTCCCCATTCACCATTAGTGGGAGCAGCCAGCACAGCCGGGCCTGACAGGGCCAGGATGGCAAGAGGTGTGAAACGCATGGTGGGTGGTAGCGTGTGTCAGAGGAAGCGACTGTCTAAAAGTCGAGCTTCGGTGGTGGAACGACTGGATACAATGAACGAAAGTGGTTGTTAACCGGGTCGAAGAGCAAACCCGACAGCTCCCAGATATATACCTTTGCTACTGTATACGTTTCGAGCAGCCTGCTTCCAATCTTGGACCAAAACAACATCGGCGATCAACAGGTACCATGAGCAAGGCACAGCAGTTCTAAGACAGACAAGGTCCTCAGCCCCGAGTATCCAAACACTGCCTGGATGTTCTCCAATTAGGATATTGATGTGGCACCCAGGTGACGAACATTGGGTGTACCAAGAACGTATGTCCACCGAGATCCATGTGCACGGATGGGATCAGTCTCAACATGGCAGTCCAGTATCATGGATGAACTTCCTCGCTGATGGGTGGTTGGAGCGATTCAGGGACGGTGGAGTGGTGCACGCTGCAAGAACCTAAGTGTATAGCAAGACAAACCTGCAAAAAGCTCCGGAAAGTCATGTCCGATGAGGCTCATGGTGGGCCTTCGGTTGTGTGTTGGCACTGGTCATTCGACGCACGAGGTTTCTGTTAGTCAGAGATCCTAATGCCGAATGCATGGTTATGAAAATAAGACTTGTTGGCGTTGGAGTGGGTGTTTGTTGGAATAAGCGGAGAAGATCGAGGCGACGATACGGCTATGCTTGTGAGACAATAGCATCATCAGCCGGCAAATGTCAGTAATGGCAGTCTCGGCAGCCGTATGACACCATGGCCAGGAGACGGCATGATAGGATGGACGTGGGTGTAGTGGAGGTAAGGATATTCACAATCTGTGATGGCTCCAACTGGCGACGCAACGGTGGGCGGAACTGCCAGGCTCCGTGTAAACAGCACTGGAGATCGGCCGCTGTAACCAGCGCACAATGTAGCCTGGAGACGGGAAACAGTTTTGACGACGACAAATCATGGACGCGTAAGTGATGGAAATAGAAGCTGACGAAAGACGAGGTCAACACATCTCGATTGCCAAGCTTCCGCCGTTGGGTTACCCGCCGTGCCCGCTCAGGCACTGCTCAATGGGGTACAGTCCCAGGCGCGACGGTGCCCCACGCAAAGAGCGGGGGCTCCAGAAGGCAGTGCCAGCTCCAACTTTTGATCTTTTCGCATCCAACTGCAAGACAAGTGCTGCCGATCCTTGGGAGGCGCAAACAACACCTCGTTGTGACGATGCTCACTTCATAAATCCCTGTCCCTGTCTGAGCCGGACTTAATTCTCAAGTAAAACTCTTTGTCAAGCGGGTATCGGCTCGTAGAAGTCTAGGCGAAGCAGAGAGCCAGATGACTTCTGACACCCCGGAACATGATGGTTTACGCACTTGAGCCCAGAGCCATGCTTCCCATTCGTAGCAGCAGCTCAAGTATGAAAAGGTACCTCGAAGCCCTCAATCACATATAGATTTTCATCGGCCATTCAATTCCGGCATCAACCTCCCACCGTTCCCACAGCCGTTGTAGAACGCCATCTCCAAGCAAATTCGCACTCCCTGTTCTCCGCTCCATACGCTCCCAATAAGCACCTCCCCTTCCAATTCCAACCACTTGCTCCTCCTGCGAACCGCACAGAAACAGTCCTGTTGCAGCCCCTTGCTGCACCTCCGTCGCGAACAAACCCTCTGTTGCCACCAGTGACTTGAACATCGGATCCTTCGCCCAGCTCGTCCCCTCTATCTTGCCAAAGATAGCCGTACGCGTGAAGCCGGGAGAGAATACATGCACCACCCTCCCCGTGCCGTCCGCGATTTTCCCCCCCTTTCCCATCACCCCATCAAACCTCCTTTGCAACAACCTCGCAAAAGCGCACTGCATCGCCTTCGAATTCGCATAGCACCCTTCAAAGCCGTGCGCCTTGGCAGCGCGAACAGGCGGACAATGAAACCCTGCCTCTACCACCCTCTCCCTCCCATGACTCCCAACCGTATTCACAAAGCCCCCCGAGAACCTCCCTGCGTATTGCGCATGTGAGCTCGTTAGCACAACGCGGGCATCCTCCGCCAGGTGTTGCTCTAGCAGATGAGTGAGCAGAAACCCACCGAGGAAGTTGGTTGCGTAAACGAGCTCGAAGCCTTGCGGGGAGAACGCACTGCCCTCGTCGCCGTCAGGCTCTGCCGGCGGCGTGCTGATGCCGGCATTGTGCACCAGGAGATCAAGTTTCGCGGCCCCGAGGTGCGCGATCAGCGTGGAGGCGCAGGCGTGCACGGAGGCCAGGTCGGCGGTGTCCAGGCTGAGGATGTGCACGCGGTCTCTGGCGCTGGGTTGCTGGTGTAGGATTTCGAGGCGCGCGAATTCGGCTTTGGACGCGTTGCGGCAGGCGAGGTAGATGGTGGCGCCGCGCAAGGCGAGGGATTTGCTGAGAGAGAGGCCGATGCCGCTGTTGGCGCCGGTGATGAGGGCGATCTTCCCGCTGAGATCGATGTATGGTGGGTGCAGCGTGGGCAGGAGGCGACCCAAGACGAGGCTGGCTAGTGAGGCTTGCCGGGAGAGAATGTATTCGGCACGCCTACGGCTGCGGGTGGGGAGGAGATAGAGGGGTGTGGAGAGGGTGGTGTATAGGACACTACCAAAGGCGGCCACCATGGATCTGATGACATCCATTGTCGGTCGTGTGTAGCCCAGCGTATTGGTACCGCAATCCTTAGACGTTTATATACTGAAGTATAATAAAGTTTCAGCTCAACCAATCGTAACCAGAGCCTTAATAGGCCTATCTTGACGTCACCTAGCAACGTCGAAGCTCGCCTGAGCAAAAGAATCGGTATCGAGAAGACCGCGAAGGGGTTCCAAGGGCACAACCATGGAGAGTGTATGGTATTGATCGGGGACCACGCGCACAGCCAAGGGAGTAACGCTTCGTCACGACCATAAGGAGCCCCCTCGGCGACAACGGTATAGGACTACCTTCTCGACGATATATATCTCGGATATCAGCTAGCATAAATATTCATTAACCGCCTTAGTGCGCCCGGGAACTTGCTGGAGTTGGGAAGTGAGAATTGTGACTATCCTTCAGCGCGGACGTACGATTTCATCGTTATAGCCCCACGCGGCCAGCGAAGAGTCAGTGCCACCTTGGCCGAAGCTGATCTGTTGGATGTTTTTTCCAGTGCCAACTTCCGGAAAGGTCGGAAAGGACTCGATGGTCGTGATGTCGGGCTCTCGCTGATGGGCATCGAACGACCCAGGCACAGCCAGCACAGATCTATCAAGATCACGCTCGGCGGGTGCGATTTCAAGCGGTCTGAAGGTTAGGTCTTTATCGTCACGGTCACTTGCGTAGTCTTTGGTGTCCATGTCTTTACGGAGAATCTTGACCTGCTCCTGGAAGACACGCCACAGTAGATAACGCTCGATATCGTCCACGTAATCATAGCGGGAGGGTTCCGCTGTCTCATCTGTGTCACGTCTGGCAATTTCAAGCAGCGTTGAAACAAATGCTTCTTGCATGTAAGCAAACGAGAATTCGTTCGTGACTTTGGCCATAGGACGGCAGAGGGTTTCCGGGAAGTCGACGTTAGGCTTGTTCTCCAATTTGTGCCGCCAGAATTGAGCGTAGAGCTCGCGTTCGTGCTGCTCTGGGAGGGGAAAGAGGTACTTTCGGTCAAAACGGCTGGGTCGCTTGCTCAAGCCGGGGTCAAGGCGATTGAGGAAATTAGTGGAGGCCAACATGAGGATCCCGTCGTTATTGTCAAGACCGTCCACCTCGTTGAAGAAGTATGAGCGAGTCGCTGAGGTGACAATAGTTTCAATGTCTTCCAATACCAGCATGCAAGGTGCCATGCGCCGAGCAAAAGTAAACACGGACTGAATGCTGAAAGTAGTTGGGGCCGATCGCACGTACAGTGTTGGAATGGACAGGGTGCGGCGCGATAATGTATGCATCAGCGCTGACTGGTCAGATCCCATTCATATGAGGGCTCACTCGCTCACCTTTGATCGAGATAGTCTTGCCGTTGCCCGGCGGTCCATGAAAGAGCAGACCTCGCTTCCAGGGTACCCCGAGATCTTCGTAGACCTGTTTGCTGTCAAAGAACCTGTCACTTACTTCCGTCAAGGACTTCTTGGTGTTCTCGTCGAGGATGACTTTCTCCCAGGTGGATTTCTGAACCTCCTCATACATGGCCAGAGACTTGGACCAGTATCGATCGTACACCCAGATTCCCGGCTGCCTAGTGGAAGCGTATAGCGCATCACCAGCAGCTTGGAGTAGCTTGTCAGTGAGCACCGAGTTGGTGTTCGGTGTCTCGCCATCGGCACGGGGTTCCTTGAGAATGTATTGAACAGGGACAAAGCCTGGGAGTACCCAGTAGATGATGAAATATTCGTCACCGAACTTGTAGTTATATTTCGCATATTGGATAACCTCAGCCAGAAAGCTGGGCTCACCTTTGGGACCCGGCGGAATGTAGCCCCTTAGGCGACTCGCAGTATCATGTTCAAGATCTAGTTCATAGTAGGCATAGCCAAGGTCTGCGAAACGAATAAGATTGAGGTTGCTCGCGGGTACGGATGTCAGCGTGAGTTCGGGGTGTTGGGCGCGCAAGCGGGCGGCGAATTGGACATCGACGTTTACTGCTTTGGCGGAGGTGATATCAACGTAGTCGGTGAAGCCCTCTTTGGCAATATTCGTGGTGGCTTCGACAAAGGTAAAGGGCTCGGATGGGGGCATGATGAACACTTCGATGCTGGAGTCAGTGTGGGAGGTGTAAGTGCAAGAGGGGTCTCAAATAGTCGCAGCAATGGACAGAGTGGTCATGAGTTGGCATATCAATGTACTGTGTCCCCAGGCACACAAGACAATGAGGCAGGACAGGCTGCTGCCTGCTTACCGCGACTGCCTTTCTGAAACCCTTCGACCATCAGCCTGGGGCCAGACTACCCCTCCCCCCCAGACCAGGCATCGAACGGGCTGCGAGATGTTCGCTAGGTTGTTGAACTCAGCGAGGTAGAGCGACAGGCTCCTCAGGACAGATATATCTATCGAGCACCGACAGATCGATGGTGTTCACTTCCCCACGCGTTGTGCGACGTCATTTCCGAAGAAGGTCTAGCGTCCTACTCCTCGTCAGTCGTCCCTCGACCTCTTCCTCGACAACAACAACAATGTGTCTTCTCGGCAATAGACAATATGAGTGCAGAGGGTAGTAGAGAAGTGAGTCATCCGATGGGCATACGAACAAAGCCCGTGTCATGCTCATTCGCAATGTGCCCTGTATATTCCTCTTGCTTGCGCAACGCGCGTGGGGAATCACGCCATCGTTTGGCATCGAGGTAAGGTTGATCGAGTACTGACGAGGTCTCAGTCTACGGCATCTGGCTGAGGCGGAGATCGCCATTGAGCGTGCAGAAGAATGACGAATCGTTCCTGATGGGAAAAAGGATGAAAACACATAGCTTCCTTGCTTCTATCTCTTCTCTAACTGATGCATACCTTTTGAAATCCGATACTCTTCATACTTGACAGCCATGGCACCAGCCATTGTACAAACACATTCAGCTGACGCGATCAAAGCGCCCTCCAAGGCCGTCGACACCTCCATCTTCCCGGACGGGATCAAGACCTCTGGTCAGCTGGATCCAATCTACGACCAGCTGCAGCCATACAGTGTATTCCCCAAAGAAATATCCAGCTCAGCGCCAACGTTCTGGGAGACTTCGGACTACCAGAACAACCCTTCTTTATGGCAGCACCCCTTTTCCTTCGAAGAACTCGCATCTTTGTCCAAGGCTGCCGATGACTTCATCAATCAGGGCCTACCACTAGAGGCCATTTCACCTGCCAATTTCTTCCTGGCTCCTGAGCTTGTGGCCGGTCTAGCTTCGATGCGCAACGAGCTATTGAACGGCAAAGGCTTCTTACTCTACAAAGGCTTCCCAGTTAAGGAATGGGGTATACACAAGTCCGGCGTCGCCTACTTCGGCCTTGGCTGCTACCTGGGCCTTCCTGTATCTCAAAACTCGCGTGGGCACATCCTTGGACATGTCAAGGACTTGGGCGAGGACAGCACGCAGATTGACAAAGTCCGTATCTACCGCACAAACGCACGTCAGTTCTTCCACGCGGATGATTGTGACCTCGTTGGGCTTCTCTGCCTATCTCGCGCTGAAGAAGGTGGGGAAAGTGATATTGCTTCTGTGCACAAAGTGTGGAATATCCTCCAAGCTGAACGTCCTGATATTGCCGAGCTTTTCACCAAACCAATCTGGTATTTCGATCGCAAAGGTGAGACGTCAAAAGGTCAACAAGAATGGATCCGCACGGCCGTCTTCTATCTCGAGACACCTGCAGCTGGGAAAGAGCAGCGTGTCTATTGCAAATGGGACCCATACTTTGTTCGCTCCCTGGCTCGCTTCTCCGATCAAGGAATCATCCCTCCTCTGTCCCCCGAGCAAAAGGAGGCTGCCGAAGTGTTGGAAGCCACCTGCAACCGAGTCAAGCTACATATGATTTTGGAGGTGGGTGATATTCAATTCGTCGCCAACAGCCACGTCTTGCACGCACGAACTGCATACAGGGATTACAGTCCAGACTCCGGCATGCCTCGAAGACATCTCATGAGACTCTGGCTTGCGACATCTGAAGATGAAGGTGGCTGGCGTCTGCCTTTCAGCGATTCAAGAGAAAAGAAGAGGGGTGGTATTCAGGTTGATGATACGCCTCCTGTGGCGAGACTCGATGCAGATTAGACGTCTCTGTAGTGCTCTCGTAGAACAGTCTTCATACACAGCAGAGATATTTGAACACGACATCGTCTGAAGAGTCGACCTCTTGCAACCCAAGTATCGTATCCGTTTTGGGCTTAGCGCAGTCTCAACGGCTCTGCCACAACGTTCTGCTTTCTCGATATCTGGACAATAGCATTCACGTTTCTCGTTCACACGGAAGCTAGTACTGGAGAGCATGCACAGCTTGGGAAGCACAAAGGCTCCAGCCACCACCACACCGGTGGCTCGGTCCTACCAGAAAGTATTGCGGCGATGAGCGTCCCCAACGCGCTCCGGCTTGGGCTGTCTGATAGCCCCCTTCCTTCGATGTGTGCAGCTGTGAGAGCCTACAGTTCGAGCGCTTGTCTGGTGGATCACAAATACCACTATTTCGTATCGCAGCCCGGCTTGCATTGCCGTCCGAAACGACCAGACACGCCACCGAGTACCTTCCGAGACAAGAAGGCCCCGTTCTCGGAGACTTGACCTAAGGTGCTAGAATGTCAGCAACCTTTATCCTGTCCTGTACAGCTCCTTGGCCTTTCTGGGAGGGTGGCCTCCTCCTCCGAAGCCGCCAAACAACCACGGGAAGTAATGCACCAAGGAGACTTATAATTGGATTTCATGCTCCACTAACCAATCAATCCTGCGACTCAACGTCTCATGAGCCTTTCAGGCCTGTTAGGACTCGCAAAAGGAAGAACAGACTTCGATGTACCCCCCTCCCAGATCTCCACCTCCGCAGTTCATGCAGAGCTTGTTTGGAGACGTGCTCCGCCATTTGCGGGGAAGGGGCGCGACGCGATAAATCCTATGGCCCAATTCGACGAGCAATCACCTGAGATCTGGTGTAAGCGCAGCAGAATTCTCCTCGGGTAAGGATGTCGCCCTCGCTTCCCTTTTACCGGTGCGGAGTTTCTCGGTACAAAAGATGACATCCTGCGCCTTTGACATGGTTCAATACCACTGATCCACAGTTTCCTTTGCACATACCAAGAGTAAAGCATCAATGGGTGACCCATCAGAGCCAGAAAGAATCATCAAGACCGATCTGTGGGAGTTTGCTGCCAGGCGCAGAACAGATGGGCCGTATGCTGATAATCTGGACATTGACGTCCTGATTGTAGGAGCTGGCTTCGGTGGCAGCTACCTGCTATATGAAATGCGAAAGGCCGGCTATAACACCGTGCTATACGACGCAGGCACCAGCTTCGGAGGTACTTGGAGGTGGAACGTCTACCCTGGGGCAAGAGTCGACAGTCCCGTACCGATATACGAGCTGGCTATTCCAGAAGTGTACAATACTTGGACGTGGACAACAAAGTAAGTCAAATCACAAACTTGGGACTAGGGCTGACATGATGGAAGCTACCCCGACTGGCATGAGCTACAAGCCTATTTTGACCACGTCGATAAAGTCCTTGATCTCAGCAAAGACTGTGCTTTCCAGTCAGTCGTGACCAGTGCCGAGTTCGACCAGTCCGCTGGCAAATGGCATGTCAAGACAGCAGATGGACGCAATGCGAAAGCCAAGTTCTTGATTGTCGCTGCCGGCTTCGCCGCGAAGCGTTACATCCCAGGGTTCCCGTCAATGGAGAAGTTCAAGGGTACCATGTGCCATTCATCCTTCTGGCCTAACGAAGGCATTGACTACGTCGGTAAGCGCGTAGCTGTCATTGGCACAGGCGCCTCTGGCGTCCAAATGATCCAAGAAATGGGCCCTGTCGCCACTCAACTGGACGTCTACCAACGCACGCCGAATCTGGCCCTGCCGATGGGCAAACGTGACCTCACCAAAGAGGAACAAGACCACCTGAAGCCCTACTACCCGAAGATCCTCGCCTACCGCGAACGCTGCTTCGCCGGTTTCGACTACGATCTGTGCGAGCGCAACACCTTTGATGACACACCCGAGGAACGCGAAAAGTTCTTCGACGGCCTCTGGAAGCAAGCCGGCTTCGCTCTCTGGCTCGGCGGCTACAAGGACTACCTCTTCGACCAGAAAGCCAATGACGAGTCCTACAACTACTGGCGCAAGAGGCAGTCTGTGCGTGTCAAGGACCCGGAGAAGAAGAAGGTGCTTTTCCCCGAGAAGAAGCCGCACGCCTTTGGCATCAAGCGTCCCTGTCTCGAGCAGAACTACTATGAGGTCCTCGACCGCGACAACGTCGGCGTCGTCAACATCAACGAAGACGGCGGCACACCCATCACCGAATTCACGGCCGAAGGCATCATCACCAAGGACGGCAAGGAGCGCAAGTACGACATCATCGCGCTGGCCACGGGCTTTGACGTCGTCACGGGCGGCATGACGAGCATGGGCCTCAAGAGCATCAACGACACGTACCTGCAGGATGAGTGGAAGGAGGGCGCCCAAACCTACCTAGGCACCACCATCTCGGGCTACCCGAACATGTTCCACCTGTATGGCCCGCACGGCCCCACCTTGCTGTCCAACGGGCCCTCCAGCGTCGAGGTGCAGGGCCGCTGGATCCGCGACGCCATCAAGCTCGCCACCGCCCAGAAGGTCAAGTTCATCAACCCCAAGAAAGAGGCGAGCGACAAGTGGAAGGAGCGAATAAATGAGTTGGGGAATGCCACCCTCTTTCCCACCACCAGGAGCACCTACATGGGCGGTACTGTGCCTGGTAAGAAAAACGAAATGACCTGCTACGCTGGCGGTGTTGGCGCGTACAAGGATGAGATCAGGGCCAAGTTGTCAGGCTGGCAAGGTTTCGAGGTCGTTGCGAACTGAGTGAGCAGACCTGGAGACCTCGGGGTTGGTTGTGTTAGGTCAGCCACTTACTTGTACAGGCACTATGTTGTATCTTCCAAAACACACTCATACTTACAAAACAAGTAATCAATCCAGCTCGTCTTTCATTATTCAATTACTCTTTTCCTACGGGTGCTACTAACTTCGAGATGCACGAGTGCTCTCTGAGGGGGTCATGTCCTGTCACGGCTACCATGCCAGAGCTTCACGTGACCATGAGGCCCCTCTGAAAGAAAGATCGAATTCATGACAACACAATATATGGGCCTCACTGACTCGGAGCAACCGCCGATCAACGACGTTAAGCATTCCTGTTCGTCGCTCGTGGCCTCCCCACCAAAAAGATTATCGCGGTGCCTAGGCTCTAGTATCGCGACCAGCGCGGCGCCTAAAGGCTGCTCGTCGCGGGCCGAAGAGCGCCGAAGAGCGCCGAATTGGCAGGGGAGATGGAGAGGGAAACGCCCAGCCTCGGGGCTGGGTGCCTCGGCGCGTGTTAAGCCAGTATAGCAGTCAGGGTTGCACAAAGGCTGGGTCGTTGAATGGATCTTTCTGCTACGGGACAAAGTACAGACTCGTCGTGGTGGTGGTGACAGACAGCGCATGCGGATGCGGACAGAGCTGCGTGCTTTGCGGGGTGGGTTTCCTACCTGCGATGATTTGCTGGTGGTATTTGGAAACAAAGCGTTCGTGATCAGTAGTGTGCACGATGGGGACCAGGGGCGACCGGCTTGCACCATGTGGGTGAGGGTGGCCACCCTTACAAAGTCAATATTACTTTAGTCGCTGGCGTTGCGAAAGTTTCCTGGCTAGCATTTTGTAGCTGGCTGTCGTTCGCAGCATTCCGGAGTATTATTGCGATATCGCTGCGGAATAAGTGTTAGAGAAGCGATGAGGGAGAGGCAGTGCTTGGTGGCCTGGGCCGATGACTGATCGCTGGTGACTGATGGCTGACAGCTTCAATCCAACTCAAATTCTTCAGCCCAAGAGATTCACCATACCAGAACATGAGCGAGTCGTCGCCGAATGCATTCTTCTGGCCTGCCAGTGGTCCACTCCAGGCTCGCATTCACGAGCCTCACAACCTAATCGACTCACATCTGCCGTGTCAGTCTCTGATGGCAGGTGCTAGTGAGAGCGGCGGCGATCCAATCCTCTTCCCGTCCCGCAGGGACTTCGTTCCGCGCCCCGGCTAAGCGAAGAGAAGAGAGCCAGAGGTGTTCGTCGCTTGTTAGCCCGGATTAGCTCTGAACTCGTCAACTGCTCATCCTCACAGGTCCGCGCAGGCTCGCTTAATATGATAAGCCAGCGACAAGCAGATTGCTTGCACTGCACGACGGAATCACAGTAATCTGGAGTCAGGATTGACCAAGCACTGCTTTCGGCAATTACTCGCCATCAGACACCCACTCCCAACAATCGCCAAGGCACCAGGCTCGGGGGAGGTAACTTCTGCAGGAATGGTGCTTGTGACTTTCCTAGGTATGGACTCGGGTTGTAACATGGCCCCCTGCGTAAAACGTTCGAGCAAGCACGCGTCTTGTTCCCTTGTGGAGAATTCAGCTTCGGCGGCGGAGTTCGGTGAATCGAAGGGAGATTCCTCGAATCGAGAAGGTGCCGTGTATGCACGTGGAGGACTTTGTTTCAGCTTGCGGAAAAGCAGGGACAGGGAAAGCTTCCATTTGTTGGGGTTGGCGCAGGTACAGGACGAAGGACCGGACAGATGTTTTCGTATTCTGAGGACTCGGACCACGCGAGAAGTCCAGCATTCGGCATTTGCTAAAGACGGGACGTGGGCTAATCGCCGGTGGTGTCGTGTGGAGTGAAAGGTGATGGAAAGGACCTTGCGGTGGATAGCAGCTCGTACTCAGAGGCTACAGATGATAGCAAGAAGCATGTGACGTACGGAGTAGGGAAATAAATGGTGCAAGAAAACGTCCGTCTTCACAGTTTACATCCAAGATTAGCTGTGTGCCTGCCTGTGCTGTACGTCCCTTCCAGATGGCTGCTTCTTGCCATGAACACCTCGCTTTTTACAATGACCCCATGCATAGCCATGCTCGCAGTGTCGTCCCTCCCTAAAACCGAGTTGACACCCATAAGTCGTAACACATCTTTATCCAGCGCTTGCCACCCAATGTCGTGATATACAATCCCAGAACCTTCCTCTAAACCTGACTGCTCTCGTTGGATCCCACTGTACCGGCTCTAGCAGCACTATCCTGCCCATCGTACTCAACCGTCCACTCCACGCCCTTGGTAATGATCATCTTTTTGCTGTCGTGGCTGTCCAAACTCTGCCGACTAGCGGCCCTTGCGCCATGTATGCTGTCATCTTGCGCTCCTCTGGCTCCTGCTCGAGGCGGGTCGTAACACGCCGTGCTTTGCGACGTGGAACCAGGATAGATCTGTCCCGCCAGCGTCCTGCTATTGCCTTGGCTGCCACCGCGGCTCTTGCGGGACCGAGACCGTGAATCTGATCCGGATCCGCTATGCTTGCCCGTTATCTTACTCAGGTTGTACCCATCCGGGACAGTGGTGCGCAGGCGGCTGCTGCCCGGCCCGGAGCTCGCTTCCGCCAGGTATGGTTTGGTAAAGGGCCGAATGAAAGGTCCTAGACAAGCCGCGGCCGTGGCAATCAGGCTGTAGCTGACTTGCACTTGCGTCCACACGCCAGCGAGGTAACCCGCGAGGGTGGGGTCGTCGCTGTAGACTTGGCGGTGCAGGTAGTAGAGGCGGGTGGCGGACCAAGCGATCACAGGGAGGCGCAGAGCGAACGCGAGCACGACCATAGCCTTCATTCGTATCGCCATTTGTAGCCCGAAGACGAGGTAGATCGACATGGCGAAAATGGAAATCTCTGTGATGATGTCGAGCGCGCAGACGTACTGCCAGCGTGCGAATAGACCGGAACATTGAGAAGCAAGATCGCGGAACGGTTGAGCAGGGCTGCAAGCGATAGTGATGAGCAAGAAGGAGGAAAGCGCCCACACAACAGCAGCGCCTATGTTGATGTACAGCACGACGAGGTGTTGACGGTTGGAGGTTAGGCGCATGATCAGGGCAATGACGGAGCACTTGGAGAGGCCCAGGGCGACGAGATATAATAGAGTGCTTGCATAGTCGGCCTGAAAATTGTCAGCGAGCGGGTCTGGAGAGAGCATGATACGGATTCGTACCTGACCGACGCTTGCAATGTCGCCGTCGCTGAGGGAGGATTTGGTGAGTCCAAAGCCTTCGTGGACTTCAGCAAAGACGGCTACGGATTGACCGATGCCGATGATCTGCACACGAGTCAGGAATGTTGTCAAGGGAAAAGTTATGAAATTCGTACCGTCGCGACAGTCAACGTGGTGTCATCGTACGACCATGGACCGCTCACTCGTAGCCTGACCCATATTCGCGTCAAGAACGCAACGAGCAGAAATGCCAGAGTGACTATTGTCACAACCACTATCACGCCTCTTTTATCGGTATCGGTAATGACGAGGGGAGGGGCTGACACCCCCGGAGGATACGGATCAGACATGCTGGCGATCAGCTTGCACGTTGAACAGTGTACAGCATGAATAATCGCGGCGTCGACAATCACACAGTCTCTGAGAAAAAGTCGTCTGGCAACATGGCTGCGACTTCATCTGGGATTATCAGGAGCAAAGATTCAGCTGCAACTGCCGCGGGTGTTGTGACCCCAAATCCCATTAGAGTTGGCTGAGCTGCCAGAGAGTACGAGCTGGCGCAGCCGGCAGGCTGTCAGGTAGCCCTGGCACGAAGTCCAGAAGCTGGGCGACAGGGCCCCATCGCATTGCTTGACATGATTTGGCGATGGAGTTCTAGGGCTTGCCGCATCGCACCAACGAGGCGTTCTTAGCTATGCTCCTTACTAGATTTAGGGGACCCTGGCCACCGACGGCGCCCTGCGGATGCAAAACCTTCTCGCCCTCCTCGCCCGCAGGACGGCCGAAGTAGCTGATGGGTCAGAGTCCCGGCGGGGTAATGGCTCCCGTAGCTCCCCGTGTCCTTAGCCCTTTTCTTAGGTAGTACCGGAACATTGCTCGAGATTAAGACTTGACTCGTGCTAAGGCGTGGTTTGATGAGGGGATTGATGTCCCCCAGCCCGATCCCCTGTATCTCTCTAGTCTCGCGATCGCGGCGTCGAACAGAGACACTTGTCGATAGCAGCTCCACTGTAGCACCCACTCCGCACGTGGAACTAACCGTGGCGGCTCTTTCCCTCGCCAGATTCACGCTGAATCTCCGTCTTTGCTGGGATTGATGATCTTCGCGTTTTCTTATCCTCTCGCTTTGTTCTGTTCTTCTCATCTCTGCCCTCCAACACCCGAACAATAGCCAGTATGGCTTCACGCCACGAAGCCCACGGATCAGACTCCAGCTCACCCGCGGACGTACAAGACGGCATTGCTAGAAAGCAGGTTTCGACGACTTTCGATATAGAACCGGCAGACGATTTTGAAGACAGCTATCATGCCCGCCATGGCACGACGCAAAACGACAAAAAAGACATGGTCCGCATGGGCAAGACACAAGAATTGAGAGTATGTCACGATTTCTTGCACGGTGGGCGCCTTGCTGACAGCCCAACAGAGAGATTACCGGCCGCTGTCGGCACTCGCTTTCACTGTTATCTTGCAGGGCACATGGGAGGTCTTGTTGGTGTAAGTATTGGCGGTGACAATCTACGTCACGGTCGCTAATCTACGACACAGCGCAACCACCCAAGGTCTGGTTGATGGCGGTATCGCTGGCCTGTTCTGGAGTTATGTCTGGACATGGCTCGGCTTCAGTACTGTCATGGCTTCATTGGCCGAGATGGCCTCCATGTAAGTTCTGACTGCGAAGCCAAATTTCTCCTGTTGCTGACTGTTGATCAGGGCCCCGACCGCTGGCGGTCAATAGTGAGTAGTGATGCTGATTGTCCGGATCGCGCAGCTGACCTTGGATAGCCATTGGGTGTCTGAGTTTGCCCCACCTCGATTCCAGAAGGTGCTCAGTTACGTGACAGGTGCGTGTCCTCCGGTTTAAGGAGGTCCAAACTAATGTTGCACAGGATGGATGGCGACTCTATCCTGGCAAGCTGGCACTGCTTCGGGACCCTTTCTTGTGGGCACTCTGATCCAGGCGCTAATTTATGTCAACGACCCAAGTTATGTCTGGCAAAACTGGCACGGCACGCTGCTGGTCATTGGAATTACCCTCGTTGTCTTCGCAGCCAATGTCTGGGGTGCAAGAGGGATGCCCATGGCACAGAACCTGATGCTTGTGGTCCATGTCGCAGGATTTATCAGTATCATTTCCGTCTTTTGGGCCCTGGCGCCTCACAACTCAGCCGAAATCGTCTTCACGCGCTTCACCAACGACGGCGGATGGAACTCAATGGGCCTAGCCTTGATGGTGGGGCAAATCTCTGCCATCTATGCCTGCATTTGTAAGTTCACTTGGTGGAGCTCTTTCAAGAAGCGGTACTGATTCTATTCCAGGCTCCGATGCCGCAGCCCACATGGCAGAAGAGATCAAGGACGCCGGTACTACCGTGCCTCGTGCGATGGCCTGGGCTTACATCTTGAATGGCGGTCTCGGCTTCGTCTTCTTGATCTCCTTTCTCTTCGCAATGACCGATCTTGAGGCTGCCCTGAACGACGACACTGGCTACCCATTCTTGACGGTCTTGGCCAACGCAGTTAGTACCTCAGGTGTCAACGGCCTGACTGCGATCGTTACTCTCCTCATTTTTGCCGGCACACTCTCCTTCAATCTCTCGACGTCTCGACAGACTTGGGCTTTTGCTCGCGACCAAGGTCTTCCCTTTAGCAAGTTCATTGCCCATGTCGACCCCAAGCTGAAGGTTCCAGCCAATGCCGTCGGCGTCACAGCGGCCATTACCATCATTCTATCCTTGATCAACATTGGTTCGGATGTTGCTTTCAACGCCATCATTTCGCTCAATTTGGTCTCGCTCATGCTGACCTACCAAGTCTCCATCGGCTGCGTACTCTACCGTCGTCTGTATAACCCGGAGCTCTTACCACAGGCACGCTGGAGTCTTGGCAAATACGGCGTCCCCATCAACGCAGCTGGATTCCTGTACTCCTCTTACGCCTTCTTCTGGTGTTTCTGGCCGAATGAGACGCCCGTCACCGTGGAGAACTTCAATTGGTCGGTAGTCATGTTTTTCGCCATTTTGTTCTTCTGCCTGGTCGACTGGTTCGCTCGTGGACGAAAGAAGTTTGTCGGTCCCGTGGTTTTGACAGACGGCTGGACTGGACCTAGCACAGGCTGAGCATTTCGCTCCAACTCATCTGATGAAAAACTATAGGCAGTTTGGATAGTAGACCATTTTTCGTGGATACATTTTTCGCAAGATAGCACCGACTACATACTGCGCCTTGTCCGGTACTGCTCTGAAGCAACTGGCGGCCGAGCCGTCTTATCAAAAGCCTCTTCTCGATCAACAGTTGACATTCTCCTCGCAGTCATTGCCGTCGCTGACCTTTCACTTCGACCATCCCCAAAGCGGAACTAAACTCGGCCGGCCAAGAAATCCGTATGGGGAAATTCCAGGCAGTGAAATTATGTCCACTGGATGCGAATGTAGAATCAGAGTTACAGACACACGTCACACGGCTTGAAATGGCCTACAACCTGAGATCGTCTGGACCATATATAGCAGGGCCTTCCTTCGCAATGTTATTGGGGTTGTCATTCATCTGAGCAATCATGACAAACACCATCGTTCTCATCACAGGCGCTAACACGGGCCTTGGGTTCCAAACTGTGAAAGCCTTGTGCCAGTCTTCGCGTTCATACACCATCCTTCTTGGGGGCCGCAATATCTCAAAAGCTGAGGCTGCTGCTAAAGAAGCACAAGAGCTCGCCAGCTCACCAGAGACGCGGGTTCAACCAGTCCAAATCGATATCGAAGATGACGAGTCAATTGCTAGCTTGTTTAACTTCATTACCGAGAAACACGGGCGAGTGGATATTCTCCTCAACAACGCAGGTGCGTGCTTTGCTCAAACCATTCGATAACATGTTCTGACACCTACAGGCGCCCAATTCGACCAACAGCTCTCCGGCGGCGAGATTTCCATGCGAGATATGTGGAACAAGAGCTGGAACGTCAATACAACGAGCACATTCATACTCACCAACACCTTCGTCCCTCTGCTTCTGAAATCCTCCGATCCGCGTCTCCTCTTCATCGCCAGCGGCACAGCAACGCTAACCGAGCACGAGGATCCTGCTATCGCACTCAACAAGTCCCCCGACAAGGGCTGGCCCAAGCCCATGCTCGGCATCCCAGCTTATCGAGCCAGCAAGACGGGCCTGAACATGATGATGCGCGAGTGGACGCGGCTGCTCAAAGAAGATGGGGTCAAGACGTGGTGTGTCTCTCCGGGATTCCTTGCCACCGGGTTGGGCTTTGGTGCGGAGAAGCTGAAAGCAATGGGAGCCATGGACCCTGCTATGGGCGCAGCCTTTGTCAAGGATGTTGTAGAGGGTCAGAGAGACGAGGACGCGGGAAAAGTCATCAGACGCGATGGTATCCAACCATGGTAGCGCTGCCTCGATCTGACAAACCTGTGCTGCGCAATTGCAGCAATCCCCAATTCTTATTCTACATTCGGTGATGTCATGAGGCCGGGACAGGGGTCGTCAACTAAATGCTAGCTCTACAAATATAGTTCTGAACACGGGCTTGATCGCAATGCCACTAAGTTGCACGTGTACGACTTTTTGCAGGCCTTGCCCTACATGTGCAGCTTTGATTACTTGAATGCATCGGAAACTGTAGTGAATCCGGATGAAAACGCGAGCCCCAACAGCTCCCGCCCATGACTGATATCTCCAATTTTACAGGTAAATTCCGCCTAAACGGACCGGAAGCTGGCAAAGTAACGAAACGACCACGAGCGAGCCTCACTTGCAGCCAGTGTCGCAAGCAGAAGCTAAAATGCGACAGAGGACAGCCGTGCAACAGCTGCATCAAAAGGGGCGACACTGCTCGATGCAGCTATGGCCAACATCCTACGCCAGAAGCTTCTGCAGACCGACAGCACCTGGCAGAACAGAAGCTGGCACATCTGGAAACAATGGTCTTGCAGTTGATGCAGAAGGCCCCGGACCATGAGCAGACTCTTCCCCGTGCGCCTTCTCAGACTCTGACGCCCCCAGAACCCAACAATGAGGTGCCAGAACAAAGACCAGGAGGCTACACCGGATCCACGCACTGGTCTGCCATGCTTAACGACATTCAGGAGCTCAAGACTGCCATTGGTTTCGAGATAGCTTCTAACGCTTTCGACAACCCAGATGAAACTGACGCACCACCTGAAGAGGTAATATACGGTTGTTCTGCCACCTACTCTCTGAAACGAATTGTCAAGGACCAGCTACCAGCACGAGAAGATGTGGAACGGCTATTGTCCATCCATTTTGCCGGAGAGACCTTCGTTCTACCCATTATCCATGCCAGTCATTTCAGGCGCCAATGTCAGCAGTTCTGGTCTGCCCCATTCGATGCCGAACCGCTTTGGCTCTCGATACTCTTTTCGACATGCTTTATGGCTGCCAAGATCGCCGTTTCCACAGGCATGAGCGGCTCATTGGCATTCGAGCCATCGAGTCTACAGACCGCTGCAGGCCAGTGCCTGGTCTTGGGACAGTATAATCGCCCGCAACGGTACGCTCCAGAGGCTCTCTTGCTCTATGCTCAGACGAAGAGCTTCTACGGACTGGATCCCCCCCGTGAAGCTGGTGCTGTGCTGGGTCTGACGGTACGACACGCTTACTCTATGGGCTACCACCGCGACCCGGATACTGTCGGTACTTTCTCGCCGTTCGAAAGTGAGATGAGGCGACGCTTCTGGGCTACCTGCAAACAGATGGACCTTATGCTTTCATTTCAGCTTGGGCTGCCGAGTCACATCAGGCTTGAAAACTGTGATACAAAGTCTCCACGAAATCTACTGGACTCGGACTTTGACGAAGACACCACGAATCTGCCCCAGTCACGGCCGGAGACTAAGGCAACTAGGTTCTTGTGGTTCATCATCAAAGACAGACAGATGGTCACATTCAGCAAGGTCTGCCAAGATGCATTGTCCTTTAACGAAAGAAGCAGTACCTATGTTCACGAGCTGGACGCCGAGGTCCGTCACACGTACGACAGCATCCCACACGTCCTGCGATCTCGACCGATCTCAGAATCAACGGCCGACTCTCCGTTTCTCATCATGACGCGAATCTACCTTGAGTTCATCTATCTCAAAAGCCTGTGCGTTCTCCATCGCAGGTATATGGCTGCTGGTCGATCATACAGCCTTACCGCAGGTTCCAAGGCCGCTCGGGCATTGATAGCCCGGTTCCTGGAGGCCTACTCCGAAACGAATGTGGGAGGGCAGTTGCAAGCCAACAGGTGGATGCTCAACAGCTTCACCGTCAACGACTTCCTAATGGGCGTGTCAACGGCATGTCTGGCGGTGTATCAGTTACGACAGCAGCCGGAAGGTCAATCACCAGCAGACAGTCCATCGGAAGAGGAACTGTTACACCTCCTGCGCAAAGCTCTCACGGCATGCACAGAACTAACCAACGCCAGCAAAGATGCACGACGAGTCGCTCATGCCATCCGACTGGTGTTGGGTGGCCTTGGTTCTCGACCAAGTCCCGAGATCCACAAGGATGGTGATGGTCGGTCGCTGTTACCGCCCGAGTGCCTCCCGGTTGCAGAAGATGCAGGCGACTTGCCCTATCAAGATGCGAGTGTCATGTTCGGCCGGCTCGATCCTTTCGATTTCCTGGGTAATCCGATGCAGGACTTTGATTGGTCGATGCTGGACATGGACGTGCTGGAATGAAGATGGCGCAATTGGCAGACTTTTGAATTTCTACAATCGGCCCGGGCGAGGGGGGAGCGATAGCTAAAAATATACCTCCTACGACGCCTTTTCTGCTTACCATGCTCATTCTATCGTTCTTGGTCTCTAATAGTCAGCGCAGCCGACCAGTCTATCAACGTGGGTCTTTAGACCTCCTTCTACCAAGCCCAACATCTAAGAAGCCGCTGCCGCGCCCTCACCCTCTTGGCCCTCCCCTCCCTTGACTAACGGCGCCGGCGTGACCTTCTTCACCACCCTCGCCGGCTGTCCCATGGCCACACTCCAACTCGGCACGTCTCTCGTGACCACACTCCCTGCGCCAATCGTACATCCATCACCCACCGTGACACCCGGCAAGAACACCACGTGCCCACCGATCCAACAATCCTCGCCAATCGTCACGGGCCCCGCATACTCGACATTGTCCCGCCGACTCTGCACCTCGGTCTCATGCGTGGCGGCGAAGATACTCACATTCGGCCCGAACATGGTCCTCGCGCCGATCGTGACGATGCCGCAGTCCAGGATGCACAGATTGAAGTTGGCGTAGACGCGGTCGCCGAGGCGCACGTTGCAGCCGTAGTCGACGGTGAAGGGGGGTTCAAGGAAGACATCGTCACCGAGCTGGCCGATGATGCCCTTGAGTTGCGAGGCTCGGTGCGTCAGCAGCGTTTGGAAATTGGCCGTGGGGTCGTCGCTGGGGAACCAGTTGTTGTACGAGTGGCAGAAGGCGCGGGCTTTGAAGCGTGCGGCTTCGAGTTCGGGGGTGAAGGAGTCGTAGCTGCGCGGGGGTTAGTAGAGAGTGAATGTACTTCAAGGCGTGGGGGACGAAGTGCTGGATACGATGAAAGCTTGTGGCGAAAGAGGGGGAGGAGGGGAGAGACGTACAGCATGCCGGAAATCATGCGCTCGTACTGCTCGCACCAGGGGATGTTCTGCATCTTTTGCGCCCTGGCGATTTGCGTCTCGTCTTTTTGGGTAGCTGCCATGATAGATGGTCGGTGGTGGGAGAAGGTGACGGCTCGCCGATGTCGTGTTGCCTTCTGGTTGCCTTCTTTGTTGATGGCCAACGGAGGAGTGAAGAGGATTGGAAAGGAGTTCACGTGTAGAGCGCTACTAAAAGTCTATTGCCTCCGAGCATTGTAGCGACGTCGTTGCGTTGTGGATTGCGCCGAGCCATCTTCTCTCCACCATACCACCTCCTCCGCTCATTGATTGGGGTGCCCTCCTTGAGATTCCATTCCAGGGCTAGGCGGCGGGCGGGAGTGGCGGGGTGGAGCGAGCGGGCCGATCTCCTGGCGGGCAAGCATCCGAAGATAGAGAGAGGCAGTTTACTCCGGGCGGACCTTTGGTGCGCGGGGCTTGCCTGGGGAACCGTGTGCCGTCACGGCGAGAATTACTGAAACGTGGCTGATTGAGAGATGATTCGTCTAGGTATATAGTCGTAGTCTATGAAAAGCACGCTACAACGCAAGACCCATAGTCACATCAAACCTCGTTACGCGCCGCCACTTCCTCCCTATCTGCTTCCGTTTCGGTTCTCTGCAATCTCCTCGATCCCTCCACTGGGAACCTGGACAGCAGCAAAACCGCAAATCCAGCCAAAGCCACCGCCGCATTGCACACAAACACGAAGTACGTCTTCTCCATGGCAGCAAACGCCGCAAACACCAAGCCAAACACAAATGTCGTCGACAAACGCGCCATCATCTCCACCAATGCGATCGCGCTTAGCGCGTCCGTTCGCTCACTCGGTGCGCACATCTGTAGAATCACGCCTTTGGCGGCCGAGGCGGTACCGGCGCCGAAGGGTAAGAGTGCCGCGATCAGGTACATTTGCCAGCCTTGGGAGACGAATGCGGCGCCAGCAGTGAGAATGCCGTCGATGAGAATGCTGGCACGTGTGTAGGTAAGGTCAAAGGTGAAGGGTCGAGGCTCGGCGTCGGCGTCGGCAGTGGCCGGGGAGCGAGGTTTGGGCGGCGACACATCTTCTTGTTCTTCGTCTTGCATGGCATTGGCGAGTTGAGTTCGTTCGGATGGTGTGGCTGTGCCGGAGGTTGGCGAGGATGACGCCGCGGAGATATCGTGATGTTTATCGAACAAGTGGCGGCCGAGCTTGATGATGCGCGGAAAAACGACCGTGAGGTAGAGACCGCGCAAGAAAGAGTGCGTCGACACGAGATAACTGTTACGCCTGGTACCAAAATCGAAGATGTCTGTGGCGTACATCTGCAGTAGAGTTGGGATATAACCGGTCGCTAGTACGCCACAGAAAGCTCCTGCTGCGAGGAAGATAGCACCGTGTTCGGTTCTTATGTGGCCGTCTTGCTGCATCCATCTTGAGGGCAGGATCGTCTTGAGGGGTCCCAGCATGCGCCTCACGCCTGAAGAACTCTGCGCTTGTTCTTCTTTTCGACCTGGGATCCACGGTAGGCAGAGCAGAACATAGCCAGTTGAAGCCAGGAATAGTACCAATGCGAACTGGAACGGCGTCTCGATGTGGAATGCTTCCGCTAGGACACCGCCGATCAGGAAGCCAATTGCACTACCGAACATCATGCAGCCCTGCAGCCTCCCCAAGGTCCCAGTCCTACCTTCATGCCCTGTCAGCTCGGTCACGTACGTGTTCAACGCGAGCATGTATCCATTGGGGCCTCCCATAACGGTCACCACCTGGCTAGCCTGCACTACAATGATACCTGTGGAACCGCCCAGAAGCACACCGACGTTCTGAACCAGGAGCCGGGAGGCGGGTGTGAGGACCTGCAGTGCGAGTGCTGCCTTGACCCCCAGTCGCTTGATTGTCCAGCCAGTAATGAAGAGATTGATGACGCCGAAGAAGGTCGTCGTGATACCTAGCAGAGACACAGCCCGCGCCGTTCCAGCCTCGATGGTTGGTAGCGAGCAGCGGTCTCGCCCGTCATGCGGCACTTGTGTAGGATGGTGAGCATAGTAAGCCTCACAGGTCATGAGGCGGAAGACGTAGACGATTGGTACTTGAGTAACACCGAACGATAGCGACGCAAAAAAGCCGCATAGCAGAACCAAGTGAATTGGTTTCGGCTTGAGCCATGATTGCGCTTTCTCTGAGGCTGGAGGTGGCAAGTCTTCGGCACGGGGAAGAAGCGGTGTCGCCTCGTTGGCCGGGTTGGTGACTGTCGTCCTATCCCCGGTTTTCATAGCGAGGAGAAAGTGGCTTGGGCTGGGCGCTGTATTGGCCGGCCATTTAACGGTGTAGCAGACGTAAAAGCAAATGGCGGAGAAGAATGCAGAGAGGTTTTGTAGATGAAAGATTGCTTCGTCCCCAACGCCTCGTCTTGCGGAGATCATCGGTTAGTCGGGCAAAAGAGCGAACCAATGACGCCATATGGGTATGTGATTGCAGGAAGTACTGTGCTTTCCGTTCTTTAAACAAGCCTGAACATTCATATTAATATTGTTATTGATATTGACGCGCACGCCGTGTCAGGCGGGTTATCATGTGAAAGCGCTACGTCGAAATGAGATCGTAAGAATAGGGTCGTCAGTCATAAGCTCATCGCAGTCCCGCACCTAGAAGATCATTATAGGCACGCCACGTTGAGCCCACTCTTGGGCAAGCACAATCCAGTCTGGTTTCTCGCTGCTGCTAGACTGGTCTCGGCTCCATAGCTCTTGAAGAAACGCAATGATCCTTCTCCGGCACAGGATCCCACTTACCTCCATGATTTCGTTGAACTTCTGTTGCACGAATGCCTTATCTCTAGAGAAATTGCGGCATTCCGTACCTGCAATAAACAGGGGCCAGGCAAGATGATGAGCAACCGGGTGCAGATGATTCATGCCGCGAAGAGTCTCGAAAAGAGTCCGTCGTGGCAATATGACCGCCGCTTCAGCTGGCCCCGGCGCCAGACAAGCGCGGTAGAGGTAGATAAGCGATGCTTGGTAGATAATCTCGAACAAATGATCAAATGCCTTGTGGACTGGTGAAGCGAGAGAAGAGCAGTATCGCAAGGCTTGCCATCTGGCATCGTTTAAGCTTGCCAGGAGGCTGTGGAGTTGACCTGCAGAATGCTGTCTGCCAGATTGCTGCTGCGCTGTGATGCGGTGCAAGGTCCTGACAAAGGCGCCCATAGTCGTGGAGCCACCATTGGCGCCGTGCTGCAGGCCGAGACGCCTATCGTTTACAACGTCAGCCGTGGTGATCGAACACCATATCTGTGCATCACACAGATCGTGAATGAGAGTTGTCTCGAATCTCGACGTTAACAAGGAACCTGCACCAAGTGTGGAGAACCAAGTCTGCATCAGAGCGTCGGCAGTGCGCATATGAAGACGGTAGAGATGGTCCTCACCCGTCCGAATGCCCATCATTACGAGCAAGAAGACGGAAAGGAGCATCGTCCGGGCTTGGTCCGGATCACTCATTATGAAACGCTCAGCCTCGTCGCTGAGACGTTTGATATCGCTGGCAATGAAGGTCAAGGCTTCGTTTTGGTAGCTGTCCTTGGCACGAGAGGCCAGGACGACGTCTTGTGGTAATTGATTCAGACGGGTTGAGAGATCTCCGGCTGCGAGTGCGAGAAGTGCACATTTCACAGCAGGTTTGGTCGCAGAGATCGGCAGGATCGAGGTTCGGTAGACGTTGTTTGGTGAATCACCACATACCAGACGAGGTGCTATTGTTCGTTCGTAGTGCTGCAACAGGCGTCTTGGGAAAGGATCATCGGATTCGCGCAGCTGTGCTAGACTTGCCCCGACCTTGTATTCGGGGCCGTCCTGATGTCGGTGTGCGGCCGTGGCTGGTGTGCAGACAGAAGAAGATGAAGACTCTCCCGGCGTTGAGTCATCATGCTGTATCGATCTCCTAATTCCAGGCTCTTGCTTCCATTTGATGTCAATGCCATAGCCTGGACATTCCAGACTTCTCGACGCGCATTTCTCGCAGGTAGGGGTAGTACGGTCACATTTGATTCTTCGTCGGCGGCAATTGTGGCAGTCTGGTGTGTTAGCGGAGGCTCATCGTCAGTATGCAGGGGCTTCGACTTACCTTTCTGAGGTGCACTGCCCATCCTCGAATACCTGTTGTTACCATGAGCGTATCGCGGCATGTCACTATAGCATCGATGGCGAGTATGCTCTCTACGTGTCGTAGAGATGGCCCCCTCACTGATATATCATCACTTACCTGGAGTTGCATTTCAAAACCGGATCGCATCATCATAGGTTCTTCTGCAGATAACCAGTCACGAGAGTTGCTTAGATGAACATATGATGCAAACGCGGAATATCGATCTGGTCGGGAAGAGTAGAGAAAGAACGAGATGTGATTTGGAAAGATTCCGGATGCGTCTCTATAGATTAACGAGAGGCTTAGCAGCGACGACGAATAGGATGCAGAGTTAAGCGGCACGCACCCCGGCGGCGTAGGTGTCTTGGGGGGATTTCAAGCTTCGGGTACGGGTGCAGTAAGCTAAAGCTTGGTGCCTGACCCGGTTCCTGGTCCTCGATTGCTGAACTTCCTTGAATGATGCAATTTGTCATGGTCCATGCACGCTCGTCTGCAAGAGGCATTTCGTATTGGGTGCTGGCTCTGTAATCGCTCGGGCTTTTCATCGCCACGTGCATATGAGGCTATATACATGAGCAGACCAGGCGAGCCCTCGCTGGTCAACATAACGTGAACTTGAGCGTCATGACCAAGCCGGCGTTTGGACCTTCAGGACTTGCTAGTGGCGCAAGACGGATCTTCCTCCCTTTATTTCTACTGTATACTTCCATGACTGTTTTGCTTCTTTGTTCACCTGGTTTCTGCCACAGCCATCTCTGTACTTTGTTCATTGAGCCTCATGAAAGACGTCAGGCGGAAGCAGTGATGCGGGGGCTCGGTGCCGGGCGCTATGGGTGCTGCTCCCGATACTTAAAGTCCTCCAATCAAGTGTCAGACAGTTTCAAATCACCCTCACCTCTGCTGACGAAATACTTGCATCGGCCGCAGGGCGTTGAGTTTCCGATACGAGGGCATCGGCAACTCTACCTGCAGCCACCAATAGAATGAAGGCTATTTTCCGATCGGATCTGCAATGCAGGAACATGTGGTGCCGAATCTTGCTACCTGAAGTTCTACGTCAATGTCTACGTCAATGTCATTGCGGAACGGATGGTTTACTCGAGAACGCCGTATCCTCCTAAGCAGCCGCAGCTTCCAACAAGCTACTAATATCTCAAGAGCTCAATGTGGCTGTGCATTGGGTCTCATAATCTCGAGCGTGTGTTCGGGAGTTTTGACGATGCACGGTCGAAAAGCCCACAACACGCATCCCGAGAATCCCTTTCAAGGCGTCCTTCAGCATTTTGGGGCCTCCAACATGCCCTTTTAGCGATCGGCCGAACTCTCGCTTTGCCGTCCTCCAAGATTTCGGTCTCCCCTCGAATGCCTCCAGCGAGCGAAAGACGGCAAATGATGCTTGCCTGTTGCGGATGCAGCCATATTACAAGAGTAGGAGTTTCGAAGGTCAAAAGAAGGAGCTTTTACCGTCCATATGAGTTGCTGCGTGGGTGCCGAGAATCCTGCCTGACAACACAGAAGATGCAACATTCCCAAAGCAGAGACCCGTATTCGCGTTTCAAAATGCGCGCAGCTTCCCACAAGACTGACTGTGCATCTCAGCCGTGTCGTCGACTGAACTCGGAGTGCGGTGAAGCATGGACAGCCTAACTTGGTAGGACAGCATGCATTTGTGGTCCAGAGGATGTACCGCCGATGAACACCGGGGTCAATTGGGGGCTCGCCGAAAAGCCTCTGGCCTGAAGACGCCCCGCGACGCTGGGCTGCAAGGGCAGACAAGTGCTCAGACAATACAGATCGTACTCTCGCCTCCTAATTTCCTCTCGCTGCCCCAGTAATACTCGCCCAGCTCCGACTCATTCTTCCCTGGCGGCGTAGTAAGGTCATGGAGGAGCGCTTTAGTGATGGAAGAAACTCTCGTCATGCCAATACGCTGGTATCGCATCCCATACTCGCCGTCCTTGGCCTGAAGGAGCAAGCATTTGAGGTGCGACCGATCCCGCAGCACGGGCATGCAGTACACCTGCGCGCCTGGGCCGAAGATCGAGGGTTCGGAAAGCGGACTGTCCAACCAGACTTGTTCGTACGTCTTCCCGGTTGGCTTGCCGTCGACTATCAGCCGCCACGTGTAGCGATTCTCGTCCACTGGGTCGAATGGTTTCTCCTCTGGCTCGTCCGCCTGTTGCTGCTGCAAGCTGCGAAAATGGAAGCATATGGTAATCGCAGCAAAGTGAGCGAGCAGGGCAGGAACGGACCAGAGGAAGAATGGCCGGAGTCGCCAGAGCAGGAGGTGGATGATGATGGTGACGACGAGCGAAACGATACTCCGAAGAAGCCACATATTCCAGTCGTAAGAGCGAATCTAGCTGAGTCAGCAGGAGTTGGTCGGGTAGCTGCACACTTACGAAGGCCTCAAACTTGGTAGGTGGAGGGCGCCGGGCTTGGACATGATCGGTCAATTCAATCTTTCGCAAAATCCCACGGAGCACGATGTAGCCATCCGTGAGAAGGCCGAACCTGTCTTTGGCGGTTCTGTAAGTCAACCTGACGACCTCGACCTGGACGAGTAGTCCCTGGTCCGTAGTCTCGGGAAAAGTGATGCCACGCGGAGTTTCCACAGAAGCCCAAGAGAATGTTGGTGCGCGATAGGTTGTAGGCCTGGTGTTCTGAAAGGGTTGTCTGTCTGCGCCCAGGCCTTCGTTGACGAACCATAGCAGTTGGCTGGCCATGTAGTTCTGCCACATGCCGGCGATGTATTTGTCGCGTATACCAGCTTCCTCCATGCGCGTGGTCATCATTCTAGCGATGCCCGAAAGAGCGATCAGCCTGTCTTGCGAGTTGGTGAGGTCCATCTTCGAATAGACTTGGACCCAATGTTTCCATAGCTCGTAAAGATGAAAGATGCCGTCCACCTCATCAACCATTCGTGCCAGACGGCTTGGGTTCATCGAGCTATTCGAGCTCCCCTCGCGAATCACCCGCAGTTGCTTACCCGCTTCGATGTCAACACTCTTCAGTCGCACATCATCGACCAGCGTGCCAGATCGGAGCCGGAAATGTGGCAGCTCATCTGGTCGGCATTCGGCACGATTGCCCTCCCTGCACTCGAACGCTATCTGGTCGCGGCACCAGTGCAATACTCTGGGCGCCAACAGGCGTTCCTGATAGACCCACGACCGTCGATTGACGGGTGCGTCGTCAACGTACTTTGGCCAAAAGAAGGGATCGAGAATCGTACACGACACATTTTCTTGAGTCCCTTCACGGATATCCTTCGTGTTGAGAGTCACGGTCTCGACCCAGTTCCAATTCGTGTCACGCGAGCTGAAAAGTCCTTCGGAGCTGTCCATAGCGGCAGTAGCCGAGATGTTGCAGTATGAGTTTGCGTAAACCTTTTCCATTGACGCCGATTCCTCCAGCCAGTCTCTCAGACCATCATCCTCTTGAATGATGCACAGTGCATCGATCCAAAGCCAGCGTATTCCAAGCTCACACGTGACCTTGATGACATCCCGGAAAGTACATGGCAATGTTGACAATGGGATGCCATCGAAAAACGTCCTCAAGGTCTGTCTGGTAAGCTTGAGGAAAGGTTTCCGTCCCCAACGGTGACTTAGTGTCACGTAAGGACCCTCCATATCTGGCTGATTTCCCACATCATCTTTGCGAGTGACGAGCTTGATCAGCTCGCTTGCCCGGCCACCCTCAAGCATAGGTTGAAGATCAAGCAACCGGCTAGGATGCCATTCGCCGTCTGACTGGGCTCGACATTTTGAGTGATGGGTAACGCACTGATGGATCCAGTCTCTGGCGATTTGAATGACCTTGGGATCAGCTGTTGAAGCACTGACTGGCTTAGGGGAAGATACTGGCGCGGCATCCTTGGCTTGGAGGAGTCAGACACACAACGCGGGGTCGAAGAGAGTTCTCACCGTTCTGGCGGAGTACAAAGCTGGTGATCGAGTCATCCCCACCGAGCTTGAAGTCGAGGTGAAACACGCCTGATCTCCGTTTGGCCGGTCGAAGCGTCGCAGTGAGGTATTCAGATCCGGCTTCGATCTCGTCAGTGACACGCTTGCCGCTTGCGAGGTTCTCGGCAAGGATACGACATATGTAGCAGCCTGCTTTGGCACCGGGATCGCGAAGGTTCTTCAGCTTATCGTGTCGAAAGGTCAGAGATAATTGCGAGCCGGATCCTATGCGACCTTTGTGGCCATACAGCATCTCCTGGCAGACTTTGCACACCATGATGGAGCGGCCTAGGCAACATGTTGAAGCAACGAAAGCCAGTAGGGAAGGGACTTTCGTAGGTGGACGTTAGGCCCATCAAGTCGTAAGAACATGCAACACCGATCCACCACTGACCAATGCTGGTCCTGGCTGGCGGGGGCCGACGTGGGCTCCGGGTATTGGTGATGACAGTACTTGGCGGGTCCACCGACCCAGCCCTGCCCCGAGGCTTCACCTTCCACCAGACCGGCTGCCTTCTTCACCTGCTGCTGGCTGCCTGCCGTGTCGATGTACAGCCTGTTGGAAGCCTAGTCGCTTGGTTCAGACGCCATAGATCGGACGGCGTTGATAAAGGGGCGGCTACTTCAGCACATCACCAGCGCCGCAACCTCAGAACACCCGCTCCGAGGCGCCACTTGGGATGGCCTCGACATTTACTCTTCCAAAAATTGCCGGGGAGCCTCCGGTCGAGGTACATCTAGTAGACAACTTGACCGAGGACCAATTTGTGGCATGGATACCGTTCAAGAATTGGCTTGAGACATTTCGTCAGTCTCTCGCGCTGCAATCGGATGTCAATCATCCGTTTCATAAGGAGGATGAGCGGTACACTTTGCGGTCAATAGAGGTGAAAGCGGTCGACATGTGGGGCAACCGTATAGGGTTCTTGATGATGAAAACCGTCGTGAAGAACGAGAAGGACAAGCAGCCTCTGGCCGGCACAGTGTTCCTTCGCGGAGGCAGTGTTGCCATCTTGATGATCCTGCGGCCGGAAGAGGATGAAGACAATGACGAGCGATGGGTTGTCATGACACAGCAGCCACGGGTCCCGGCCGCAAGCTTGACTTTCTACGAGATACCGGCCGGAATGATCGATGATTCGGGTACCTTCTCTGGTGCAGCTGCAAAGGAGCTGTACGAGGAGACATCCTTGGAAGTTCCAGTTTCAGAGTTGAAGAACATGACGAAGCTGGCTCTGAAGAACGCCAAACTTGCCTTGAAAGACGCTCAGGGATCAGAGGAGCACCTACAGAAAGCCATGTACCCCAGTCCAGGTGGTTGCGACGAGTACATTGCTCTTTTCTTGTGGGAACGAACAATGCCTCGGATAGAGATCAACGAATTGCGAGGAAAGTTATCCGGCGTCGATAGTGAGAAGATCAAGGTGAAGCTCGTGAGATACGAAGAGCTGTGGAAAGAGGGCGCAAGAGATGCAAAGACGCTTGCAGCATGGGCTTTGTATGAAGGTCTGACAAGAGAAGGGCGTCTAGATGAAGACGAAGATGACGAGAATGGTGAGGATGGCGCCTGATTTCGCAGGCCCGGCGAGGCTGAGACGACTACATCAGAGGTCGACAAACTGACGGGATGACTCTCCCTGAACATACACCAGAGGCTTCTGGGTGTGTTGTCGCTGTGAGCATGGAGAGCCCTCCGTCCATCTATGGCGACCCCTGGTGCTATTCCGACGCGAGGCATGCCAACTCACCCACGCGGAAGCTCGCGTCGGGGAAGCACCTTCTCATGCGCTCCTCGACTGTCAAATGAAGTCTTCCATCCCCACGTCGCGTCCTTCTCCTTCCCATTGGATCGCCCAGCAAGGACGTTGGCCACGTACTTGCCAATCACGGGCAGGAACTTCCAAGAATGAAAGCTTCCAGCCGTTGCAAGATAGAGATTGGCCAATCTCGGGTCTGGATGCTGGCAGATGAGCTGGTTCTGATCTGGAGAGACAGCATCCCAACAAAGACGCCACTCACTGGGCTCTGGGTGATCGGCCAGAATTTCTGGTACACGCTGTCGAATAATGTCGAGCGATTCAGCTTTCAAGCTAGCTGGAATAGAATGTTGATCTGTCGCCGGGACAGAGATCTCGCGGCCGCAAGGATGTGGTTGGGTATTTCGGAAAGTGTTGGAATTGGTAAACTTGAATAGCTGCTCATCTGTCGGAGGTAAAACTTCGCCCTGGCCACCATAGATCAGCACTGGCATGTGGCCATAGTGCTGGCTTTCAGGCTCAGACAATCTGAACGCTGCAACGCATACGCCGGCGGCTTGCACCTGCTTGTTGATACTTCTGTCAGGCGGGATAGAGAGGGCGCTTTCTAAAGATGCCATAAGCCAAGGTGTCCACGCCCCCGTAGCCAGTAGGACCTTGGCTCCGGTATGGGTCTGACCGTCTGTTGTCCGCACAGAGACTTGATTCTTAGAGTAGACCAACTCGTCAGCCTCACCTACCTGGTACTTGACGCCATTCTCGATCGCTCTCTGCATCATAGCTCTGACGGCTGACGAAGCATTGGCCCAGCCAGCGCTTGAATTGGTGTAAGCTTTATCGAAGCCATCAGTGTTGATACCTGAAAGCACAGCGCCCCAGTTACTCTTGACCTCTTGCAAGGAGATGTCTGCGCTTGTGTCTGGTCTTCCGCTTTGCTTGAAGAGAGCTCGGATGCGTTGACTCAGATCACTTCCCTTTTCATCGAGCGCGACCCAGCCAGTCTGATGAAAATGTTCTTGCAACCATGCCTCTTTCGTCCACAGATCTAAGGCTTCGTAGGCCAGGTCCATATAAAAGGCTTTACTGTAGTCGGCTCGCACAATCTTGTTGATGTCGGTTGACGCAGCTTGACGGGAAGGGACGGGGGCACGGTCTAGAACAGTCACACGCGACGCGTCCGGAAGAGATAGCGACAGATAATATGCAGTAGAGACACCGAATATGCCGGCTCCGACGATCAGAACATCACTGTTGGCCATGTTTGCGGTGTGTTCAACACCTTGCGATTGATGTTGATGAGTGCCAATAATGGATGAGACCGCAGGACGATACTCCGTATTGATTCATGGAGTGGGTACTCCGTACTCTTACCCCAACTCGAGTCGACGGCATTTCCCCGCACTCCAACAGTTCGAGCCCAGCGCCCACTACCTCCGTACCCGCTAGCAGATACCTCGGCAGCAACACCATGCACCGCGATGATCCGGGAAGCCTAAGTAAATGGCGGTAATCTTTTGGATGTTCTCAAAGCTTGCATACCTTGGGATTTCTTCGCATCAATAGACAACAACCATGGCATTGGGTAAGCTCTCTTCGATACTCCTCGACTGTTGCCCACCACTGACTATATCCAGCTGCTGCAGCTGTGGCCGCCGGCACTTGGGCTACCGCCGCTTACCTAGATGCAAAGTTTCACGTCAGAAAAGATCTTACTTTACTGAGGAAGTTGAAACAGGCAGAATGGGACTACAAACAGCAGGTCAAGGCCGATCGAGTCAATGTCTGGTACATTATAGCGGAGACGTGCCACAGGCAATGGGACGACCGAGCAATCTGGTTCCGCGGGCGGACCATCTCTTTCGGCGAGTTCTATGAACAGACTGTCCGCTATGCGAATTGGATGTTGGATCAAGGAATCCAACCGGGTGAGCTGGTGGGCATGTACCTCATCAACTCACCCGAGTTCATGATGATCTGGTTTGCCACTCTGTGCATTGGCGCAGCACCAGCATTCCTGAACTACAACCTCGAAGGAAAAGCACTCCTCCATTGTTTACAGGTGTGTGAGACCAAACTCATCATTGTCGACGACGACGAGGGGTGTCAAAGCCGCATACAAGGCAGTCGTTCCGCCATCGAGGCCAAAGGAACCAGAATTGCCGTTCTCGACGACGCTCTCAAGGCTGAAGTCTCAGCGAGACCAGCGGTATGCCCGGAGAACAAATATCGCGATGGCACTGCGGGATCTTTTCCGTACTGTCTCATCTATACCAGCGGCACCACCGGTCTCCCGAAAGGCTGTGCGTTTACCCAATCCCGCCTGCGACTACTCGGCGGTCACTACGAGCCCTATTTCGAGGGCAAACCTGGCAACGACGTGTGGTACAACAGTATGCCACTCTACCACGGCACCGGGGCCATTACCTCCTCCATGGCTCTTTTGGGAGGCCTTGGTCTCGCGCTGGCGCCCAAGTTCTCCGTCTCACGTTTCTGGAATGACGTACATGACTCACGTGCCACTTTCTTCATCTACGTGGGCGAGACAGCCCGCTACCTCCTGAACGCGCCTCCACACCCGCTGGAACGGTCCCACAGACTACGTCTCTGCTATGGCAATGGCCTACGACCGGACGTCTGGGCTAAGATGCAGTCACGTTTCAACATCCCCGAGGTTGGCGAGTTCTTCAATTCCACCGAAGGCATGTTCAGTCTTGTCGTCTGGGACAAAGGCCCATTCCTCGCCGCCTGTGTGGGTCACCACGGCGCCATTATGCGAGCGTTGCTACACAACACCTACGTTCCTGTGGCAATCGACCACGAAACAGGTGACATCTGGCGAGATCCCAAAACGGGACTCGCAAAACGCACCACGTACGCCGAGGGTGGCGAAATCATCGTCAAGGTTCCCAATAAGCAAGCCTTTCAGGGTTACTGGCGCAATGACGGCGCCACGGACAAGAAGTTCGCGTCTGATGTCTTCGCCAAGGGCGACGTGTGGTACCGTTGCGGCGACGCTCTCAGACGCGATGCGGACGGCAAGTGGTTCTTCCTCGACAGGCTAGGCGACACTTTTCGCTGGAAGAGTGAGAACGTCTCGACCGCCGAGGTATCCGAATGCCTCGGGAAGTATCCCGGCGTCGCGGAGGCTAACGTCTACGGGGTGTTGGTGCCGAACCACGAGGGGCGTGCTGGCTGCGCGGCGCTGCATCTCGCTGAAGGACACGATCCTGCGCGCTTCGATTACAATGCCATGCTGCGGTATGCTAGAGAGAGGCTGCCCAGGTATGCGGTTCCAGTGTTCTTGAGGGTGGTGAAGGCCAGTACGCACATCCACAATCATAAACAAAACAAGGTGCCCTTGCGGAAGGAGGGCGTGGATCCGAAATTGATCGGTATTGAAGCCCCTGAAGGACGAGACGATCTCTTCCTGTGGCTGAAACCTGGAGGCAACGGGTACGAGAGCTTTACGGCGGGAGATTGGGGTGTGCTGGAAAGAGCTGAGGCTCGGTTGTAGTCTTGGATCACGGCGAGCCGGTGTCGATCCTGCACCTACATACATGAAGTGGCGTCGTCGTATATGGCAGGAGACACGCTGAGCCATTGGAGACGCATCTGCCTCTGTCACTGCCTGTAGAAAGTAGAGAGCATATCGGTTAGATGGGTACTTGAATCTAGCAGAGCAATACAAGCAAGACATGTTTGATAGCTTAATTCATGGAATTGAACTCCGGCCTTTATCTACCTACTTGTAACTCCTACCAACGCTGCATGGTCGTGCTCAAACCTCACCACTTCATCTCCTTCTGTCTGAACAAGTCCATGTATGTATCGACCTCTGTGCTGTCAAGCTTGCTCGCGTCGGTGCTCAGGTTGACCAAGTCATCGATCTTGCCCTGCTCGTAATGATGGCTCAAGTGTCTTTGAAATTTCTTCATGATCTCAGGCTTGGCCTCGTCGCGCCTCAGCCTGTGGCCGAGAGGTGCCTCGACAACTACCTCGTCAAGCACGGTACCGTCGTTCAGAGTTACCGTCAATGCATTTGAGATGGTGCGCTTGCTGGGGTCATGGTAGTCAGCAGTGAACTGAGGATCCTCCACGCACTTGATGCGCTTCCGCAGATCTTCGATCAATGGGCTAGTAGCCGCCTCACCGCCATCAGTGTAGTCGGTAGCCTCCAGGCGGTTGAATGCCAGCATGGTGGCTACCATGTATTGAACACAGTGGTCCCGATCAGCGAAGTTGTCCATAGCCTTGAATTGTTTGTCGATGATACGGATGCAAGCCTCGTGCGTGCGGTTGGTGATTTCTTTGATGTCCTTGGCCGACTTGCCCATCGATTGCAGAGTGGCATAGACTTTCTGGGCGGCTTCAATGGCAGTCTGGCTGTGGAATTCAGCTGGGTAGGAGACCTTGAAGAGGACGTTTTCCATCACGTAGCTACCGTAGGGACGTTGGAAATCGAATTTCTTGCCTTTGAATAGCACATCGTAGAAGCCCCAGACGGGCGCAGAGAGCACAGTAGGCACGCCAGCTTGTCCCTTGAGAACCTTGAGGGCTAGGTTGACAGCTCGCTGGCAAGCATCACCAGCGGCCCAGGACTTGCGAGACATAGTGTTGGGAGTATGACGGTATGTACGGAGAGACTGCCCATCAACCCAGGCTTGGGTGACAGCATCACGGGTCTGTGTCTCTGTGAGACCAAGCAGCTTGCTGACAACGGCAGTGGAGGCGACCTTGACGAGAACGACGTGGTCGAGGCCGACCTTGTTGTAAGAGTTCTCGAGGGCGAGGCAGCCCTGGATTTCATGGGCTTTGATCATGGCTTCGAGCACATCGCGGATGGTGGGAATCTTGCCATTGCCGAGCTTGCCTCCTGCACGGTTGGTACGGGCAATCCAATCTGCGACAGCAAGGATGGCGCCGAGGTTGTCAGAAGGGTGACCCCATTCTGCGGCCAGCCAACAGTCGTTGTAATCAAGCCATCGGATCATCGCTCCAATGTTGAAAGCTCCATTGACAGGGTCAAGCTGGTAGGGTGTGCCTGGAACGGTAGTACCGTTGGGTACAGTGGTTCCCTCAACAATGGGCCCAAGTAGAGCAGTGCACTGAGGGAAGCGGAGAGCTTCTAGACCACATCCGATGGTATCGAGGAGGATATAGCGGGAGGTGTCAAGGGCCACCTCGGAGTCGATCTTGTAATTGTGAACATAGTCTGCAATATCCAAGATCTCTTGATCGTATGCCTGTGTGGGAGCATGTGCGGGCATAGTCGATGCCCTCGGGTTTGCGGTGGAAAAGGATTGGGCCATGGCGGGCAGCCTCGCGTAGGACAGCGGAGACGACGTGGCAGACAATCGAGGAAGGGCACGAGCAGCAGTTGAAGTAAGAGGTCGAACCGCAGCTGAGGAGCACAGGTTGCGAATCGGCGCTCGTTTGAGAGAGGAGAGCATTGTGTGACTGTAAAAGCAAACTTGAAGTGAGGAGAAAAGATTCTGCGAGCTCAACACCACTTCAACAATCTTCAACAAATATTTTCGCAGCAGTAAGAAACGGTTTCCTCTCAAAGAGAAGCCGACAGACGTTGACAGCTGTTTGGCTTGTCGTCTCCGAATTGCAGCCCCTCCTCCGTTGTCGCCCGCTTAGCTACGGACTGCCTCGGCTTTCGGACTTTCGCCTGGACAACCGCCTCAGCCTTGACCTGTGCCACAGTCACCAGCCACTGGACGCCGGTACCTGACATTAGTCCCTGAGCCATACATCAGCGCGCGGGCACGAGCACCTGCATCGAATGGTGTGATTATGTCTACAGCCCAGTCCTATCAGCCCTTGCAGGTCAAGGACGATGATGAGACTGACTCGGAGCGATCTCGGTCTCCCTACCGCGACGATGCAGACGACATTCCCATGACCAGCTCAACTGAGCCGACTCAGCCTCCACCTCCATATTCGGTGGCCTCCAGATATCATAACCGGGGCATCTGCAATTGCAGGCGCCTGTCCAAGACATGTATTGCTATATGTGTCCTTGTCATCGCAGTCGTCTGCTCTTCGATAGGCGGCACTGGCTACTGGGCGTATAGGTTGCAACTCATCGATGGCCAGTCTCCACCCTGGTACCCTTCCCCGCGAGGCGGCACAGTCGACTCATGGCAAGAAAGCTACAAGAAGGCGAAAGAGATGGTTGATCGGATGAGCTTGGCTGAGAAGGTCAATATCACAAGCGGAGTTGGATGGGCCATGGGACTCTGCGTCGGCAACACTGCGCCCGCGGTTGACGTTGGATTTCCGGCCCTCTGCTTACAAGATGGACCACTAGGCATTCGCTTTGCTGACCACGCAACCTCTTTCCCTGCAGGTATTACTGTCGGTGCCACATGGAACCGAGATCTCATGCGCCGCCGTGGTGAGGCTCATGCGCGACAAGCCAAGGTCAAGGGCATTCACGTCCTCCTTGGTCCTGCAATGGGCCCGCTTGGTCGACACCCAGCTGGAGGGCGCAATTGGGAGGGTTTCGGTGCGGATCCAGTGCTTCAAGGTGTTGCCGCGTACGAGACCATCACAGGCATCCAGTCGCAGGGTGTCATGGCGACAGCCAAACATTTCGTGGGGAACGAGCAGGAGCATTACCGCAAGTCATTCGAGTGGGGCCTCCCGGAGGCGCTATCGTCCAACATTGACGATCGAACAATGCACGAAATCTATGCCTGGCCCTTTGCTGAGTCTGTCAGGGCTGGTGTCGCAAGTGTCATGTGCTCGTACCAGATGGTGAACAACTCGTACGCCTGCCAGAACAGCAAGTTGATGAATGGACTCCTGAAAGATGAACTAGGCTTCCAAGGATTTGTACAGTCCGACTGGCTTGCGCACCGGAGCGGCGTCGCAAGCGCTCTTGCTGGACTTGACATGACCATGCCAGGCGATGGCATTCACTGGCAAGATGGCAAGTCTCTCTTCGGTGAGCAGTTGACCATGGCTGTCCTCAACGAATCGATGCCTCTGTTTCGAATCAATGACATGGCTGCTCGCATCGTAGCATCCTGGTATCAACTTGGACAAGACAAGTGGGACTCGGATGGGCCAAATTTCTCGTCCTGGACTGATAAAGAGTCGGACAAGCCGCATTTCGGAAGCTCATCGCCACAGCAAGAGGCTATCGTTAACAAGTTCGTCGAGGCAGAAAATGAAGCGAGTCGAAGCGTTGCCCGTGAAGTCGCCGCTGAGGCCATTACCCTTCTCAAGAACGATGAGAACATTCTGCCACTCGATCCGCAGCTCACTCCATTCAAGGCTGATGGTAGAACAAGGGTGGCCGTTGTTGGTGATGATGCCGGCCCGGGCAAAGGCCCGAATTTTTGCGACGATCGTGCGTGCAATCAAGGAACCCTCGCTGTCGGCTGGGGCTCTGGCGCAACAGAATTCACCTATCTCGTTGACCCTCTCTCTGCGATCAACAAAACATTCAATCCGGATGATATCGAACTTACAGCTCTTCTTACAGACAAACTAAGCAGCAAGCAACAGAAGGACCTGGAAACGCACAATCTTTGCCTCGTTTTTGCCAACGCTGATGCTGGGGAAGGTCACCAGAGATGGAACAATGTCAACGCGGATCGCAATGATTTGCAGCTGCAAAAGGGTGGTGAGAAGCTTATCGAGGCTGTTGCAACCTATTGCGGTGGACCAACCGTTGTTGTGATCCACTCAGTAGGCGCTGTCCTCTTGAACAGCACGGCAAGCTTACCCGGTGTCAAGGCCATCCTGTATGCGCATCTGCCAGGCCAGGAAAGTGGAAATGCTTTGGTTGATGTTCTGTTTGGCAAAGTCGACGCTTCGGGACGTCTCCCATACACCATCGGCAATCGTTTGGCAGATTATGGGCGGGGAGCTCCTGTGATGTACTATCCAAACCACTTGATTCCTCAAGCCGACTTCAAGGAGGGTCTATATATCGACTACCGCCATTTCGACAAGGAAGCCATCGAGCCTCAGTATCCGTTCGGTTTCGGGCTTTCCTACACCAGCTTTGCATACAGTAATATCCAGGTGACGGGGCTCAAGGATAGATCCCGTTTGCCCAACCCGAGATTCAGCACCATTGAGCCGCCAAAGCTGGACGAGGAACTGCCAGAGCCATCTTCACTGCTATTTCCATCCAATATCAGACGCTTCAAAAAGTATGTCTATCCGTACATCAGCAACGTTGAGCAGGTCAAGAAGGGGAAATATCCATACCCCGAAGGATACAGTGAAGTCCAGATTCCGGGCCAGGCAGGAGGTGGTGAAGGCGGCAACCCGTCCCTATTTGAAGAGCACGTTCAGATTGATGTTCAGGTCAAGAACGTTGGCGGTCGAAAAGGCAAAGAAGTCGTACAGGTTTACGTATCTCTGCCTGAAAACATCAGAAACGCGGACGGCGTTTCCATTGATGTTCCTCTCTGGAACTTACGCAACTTCACGAAGATCGAGCTGGATAAAGGCCAGGAAGAGATTGTCACTATGACGTTATCGAGGAAGGATCTGAGCTATTGGGATGTCGTCGAGCAGAATTGGGTAATGCCCGAAGGCGAATTTCGTATCGGCGTTGGAAGCAGCTCGCGTGACTTGCGCTTACTGGCGACTTACTGAGACAGGCGTACTTGGTTTGGTAGACTGGTCCGCCGGGTAGAGACCATCGGGAGCGTAGGCGAAGTCCGGGTTGGTAGACTGTATAATAACGATTGACGATATTAGGCTAGTTGTTCTGCCCCGTGAGAGCCTTTCTCGCCGAGCTCGGTACTAAGAGGGTGATGGTGATGCTTCAACACAAAATCGACGGAAGGGCTCCCCGAACGCACAGCAGAGACTTCTGCCTGTGGTTCGCAATGACTTGGGGTGTCCTCCCATCAATTTTGTCGGCCCCTGGTGGCTGTTTCTCATCGTTTTGTTCTGTCAATGACAAAGCCCGTATGTCAGCTAACGTAGACAAGTGGTCGGAAAGCTCCCCGAGCTCGGACAGGTTGTGGCGAACGGTGCATGCCCAATGACTTGAGACAAATATAATTGCTTGGTCAGCTATATATCAGTTTGTTCCCGGTGAGATGTGCGAGAGCGTAGGGTCTCTACTTCTTCTTACACATTCTATCACTCCGAGAGAATCTCACAATGTCCTCGTCGCCGACAAGTGCGACTTCATGCTGGTTCTGCTTCGTAGGATACAGGAGGTCAAGATTGTGCTTCGGCCGAGGCAACCTTAGACCGGAATTTTCCGGACCCCAGATTCAGGCCTGTACTGTAGACATAGCTGGCCCCACCATAGTGCGCGATTGGTAGATCTTTCATTCTTGGGGAACTCCGCACTGCTTGACCAACGTCAATCTTCCCCCGTTAGCCCGGTCGAGGTGCTGTCGGATGTGCAATCGAGCTGGGCTCGCTTAGCGAGCACACGAAGGCCCGAACAAGCGCGATCCCGACAAGCCACGACTTATGACCGCGTTCTTAAGGACTGCGCATGAGTCTGTTCCGCTGCCGCCCTACGCTCCATCGGTGTGAATGGATACGAAGCTATCCAGGCGCCCCCAAGACCCGTGCAGTGCAATCCTTACAGCTTGTCCAGCGCTTTCTGATACCTTCGATCCGAGCTCGAACTCATTACAGTATCGGCATGGCGCATAACAATACCGTGCAAGATGAGGTGCAGAAGCTGTCACTCGAAAAACCGGAGGAGTTCTGGGATCACCATGGAAAGCAGCTACACTGGCATAAGCCTTACTCCAAGGTGATCAGTCACCAGACCAAGAAGCTCGAAGATGGGACTGAACAGCCTCATTGGTCGTGGTACCCAGATGGCGAGATCTCGACAAGCTACAATTGTCTGAATCGACACGTCGAAGCCGGCAAGGGTGATAACGTTGCGATGATCTGGGACAGTCCTGTCTCCAAGACCAAAGAGAAGTACACATACAAGCAGATTCTTGAGGAAGTGGAGACGCTCGCTGGCGTTTTGAAAGAGGAGGGCGTCACAAAGGGCGATGTCGTCCTCATCTATATGCCTATGATCCCTGCTGCCATTTTTGGCATGCTCGCGACCGTTCATCTGGGCGCCATGCACTCCGTTGTGTTTGGTGGCTTCGCGGCTGCTAGCTTGGCCCAACGTGTTGAGGCTGCGAAGCCCCGGGCCATATTGACAGCAAGCTGTGCAATTGAGGGGGCGAAAGGGCCACTCGATTACCGACCGTTTGTTGAGGGGGCGATTGAAAAGAGTAGCTTCAAGCCCGAGAAGACCATCATCTGGCAGCGGGACATCAAGCGATGGGACCCGGTCATCAAGGAGAAAGGGCAGAGAAATTGGCAGCGGCTTGTCAAGTCTGCGAAGAACCGAGGAGTCAAAGCTGATGCTGTACCGGTCAAAAGCACCGACGGGATATATGTCATCTACACCTCAGGCACCACTGGATTGCCGAAAGGCGTCTTGCGAGAAGCCGGCGGACATGCCGTTGGCTTGAACCTGTCCATCAAGTATCTATTCGACATCAAAGGACCGGGCGATGTCATATTCACTGGCTCCGACATTGGCTGGGTCGTTGGCCACTCGTTCATTGTATACGCCCCCTTGCTGGCCGGGGCAACGACGGTTCTATTCGAGGGCAAGCCTATTGGCACACCCGACGCAGGTCAAGTCTGGAGGATGATTGAAGAGTACAAGGTCACCAGCTATTTCACTGCGCCGACTGCGTTGCGAGCAATCCGGAAGGAGGATCCGGACTTGAAGTTCGTCAAAGAAGTTGGCGATCGCGGCGGCTTCAAAACGTTGCGAGCTCTCTTCCTTGCCGGCGAGCGTTCTGAGCCCTCGATTGTGACGAAGTTCCAGGAGCTGGTCGAGAAATATGCCGCTCCTGGTGCACAGGTCATTGATCACTGGTGGTCTTCAGAGTCGGGCTCGCCAATGACGGGACTTGCGCTCCGCCCATCTGTAGGTAAAGAGCATAGCTCGACCGAGTCGCACAAGGTCCTCAAGATCAAGGCTGGTTCTGCGGGCAAGCCCCAGCCAGGATTTGATGTGCGTGTGGTCGACGATGAAGGGAAGGAGGTTGAGAAGGGTGGTATGGGTAACATTGTGCTCAAGCTCCCTTTCGGACCAGCAGGATTCACTACTTTGTTCAAGGACGACACTCGCTTCTACAAAGGCTACCTGAAGCGTTTCGACGGGAAATGGCTTGACACCGGCGACGCGGGCATGATCGACGAAGACGGTTACGTTCACGTGATGTCAAGATCCGACGACATCATCAACGTTGCGGCTCACCGTTTCAGTACAGGTGCGATCGAGCAGGCGATTCTCGGCCACAAGAATGTCGGCGAAGCCGCTGTCGTTGGGATCCCTGATCCGATGAAAGGACATCTACCTTTCGCGTTCGTCCAGCCTTCGTCTGCACCCAAGGAAGGCGAGAAGCTCAGCGCCGTGCCGGACTCTGCCTACTTCAAGGAAATCAATGACCTGGTGCGCGAAAACATTGGCAACATTGCCACCCTCGGCGGGGTCGTGGTGGGTAGGGGGATGATTCCAAAAACGAGGTCAGGCAAAACCCTGAGAAGAGTGCTCAGGGAGCTGGTCGAGAACGGCTCGGAGGGCAAATATGACGAGAAAGTCAATTTTCCGCCAACGGTGGAGGATGCTGCAGTCATTGACGTGGCGAGAGCCAGAGTCAAGGAGTACTTTGAGAAGAAAGGAAAGGATGGACTCAAGGCAAAATTGTAAATTACGAATCATCGAAGATTGTAGTCAAGCATGTCAAATGTCTGGCGCAGCAAGAGTTTTGGCATGCGCTGTTCCAACGCGCACCAGGGTCGACAAGATTGACGGGAGGCCTCGCTGAACTCGCAGCAGGTCAAACCCAATCTCTTGCTGTGAGTCGATCCAGTGGGGGTAGGCGAGGCTCCGGTGGGATGGAGAATTACCGGCGGGTAAATTCGAGCACGTTGGAGAAACACGCTCCCTTAATCGCTCTCCAACGCACTATCGTTGCATAATTCATGCCATGGGCTTGACGTCCAACCCTTTACAGCACTGACACTACAGAGAACCACTTCACCATGTTGTCGGAAGATCATGGGCGGCTCGTCTACTCATACGACTCCGAACGGGTATGGATCGAGTGCTGGGGTCCCAATGCATTCCGTGTGCGAGCTACTAAAGACCATGTCTTTCCCAGCGAAGACTGGGCATTGCAACAGCCCTCACAACAAGCACCACAGATCAAGGTAGCTCGGTCATCTTCAACCATAACCAATGGCAAGATCAACGCCACTGTCAGCAAGTTTGGCACTATCACTGTCCGCAACTCTAAGGGCGATACTCTACTTGAAGAATATGCTCGAAATCGTCGAGACTTAACTGCTGAGAAATGCAGCTCCCTTGACGTCGAGGCTCGTGAGTTCAAGCCTATCAAAGGAGGCCCCTACCATCTCACCGCCCGGTTTGAGAGCCTGGATCCAAACGAGAAGATCTTCGGTATGGGCCAGTACCAGATGCCTAGCATGGATCTGAAAGGCATGGACCTTGAGCTGGCGCACCGCAATTCGCAAGCGAGCGTGCCTTTTGCGCTATCATCTCTCGGCTATGGGCTCTTGTGGAACAACCCTGCCGTAGGTCGTGCCGTGTTCGGGAAGAATGTCATGTCTTTTGAAGCATTTGCGACCAAGACACTGGATTATTGGATTGTTGCGGGCGATAATCCAGCAGAGATCGAAGAAGCATACGCAAACGCAACTGGAAAAGTTCCTATGATGCCTGACTATGGTCTTGGGTTCTGGCAATGTAAGCTAAGGTATCAGACCCAAGAGGAGCTTCTCTCGGTTGCACGGGAGTACAAGCGCCGAGAACTGCCTATTGACCTCATTGTCATTGACTTCTTTCACTGGCCACTGCAAGGCGATTGGAAGTTCGATCCCACCTACTGGCCAGATCCAGGTACGTGAAGTCTTGGGAGAGTGAGTATGACTGACGCATGTAGGTGCAATGGTGCGAGAGCTTCAGAGCATGAACATCGAATTGATGGTCTCCATCTGGCCAACCGTCGACCAGAGATCCGAGAATTACGCAGAAATGCGAGAGCGTGGCTATCTCGTCCGTACAGAGCGTGGCCTCCAGACTACCTTTGACTTCCAAGGTGAAACTGTTTTCTTTGACCCTACGAACCCTGATGCGCGAAGCTATGTCTGGGGCAAGTCAAAGAAGAACTATCATTCTCTTGGCATCAAGGTCTTCTGGCTTGACGTGGCGGAACCAGAGTACTCCGTCTACGACTTTGACAATTATCGATACCATCGTGGACCCAACATCGAGATAGGAAATATCTATCCCGTGGAGTACTCCAAAACGTTCTTTGAAGGCCTGCAGAAGGAAGGCGAATCAGAGATTGTCAACCTTGTGCGTTGTGCTTGGGCTGGTAGCCAGAAGTATGGAGCATTGGTCTGGAGCGGTGACATCGCATCCTCGTGGAGCAGCTTCCGAAATCAACTTTCGGCTGGGCTCAACATGGGCATCTCGGGCATACCGTGGTGGACGACTGACATTGGTGGCTTCCACGGTGGAAACCCACAAGACCCCAAATTCAGAGAGTTGTTCACTCGCTGGTTTCAGTGGGGTACCTTTTGCCCAATAATGCGACTACATGGAGACCGGGAGCCACGGCAGCCACAGCATGGAACTACAGGCGGAGCTTCTTGCCGGTCAGGCGCTGCAAATGAAGTATGGTCTTACGGAGATGAGATCTACGAGATCTGCAAGAAATACATGCGCATCCGCGAAGAGATGCGTGAGTATACGAAAGGCTTAATGAGGGAGGCACATGAGAGGGGAACTCCGGTTATACGTCCACTGTTCTATGAGTTCCCAAAGGACAAGAAGTGCTGGGATGTGAGCGAGGAGTACATGTATGGCAGTAAGTATCTGTGCTGTCCAGTACTTTCAGCTGGGAAGACGGAGATGGAGGTCTATCTTCCCGCCATAGACGGTGACTGGGTGTCTTTCGACGGCAGCAAAAGATATGACGGCGGCCAGACCACTACAGTACCTTGTCCCATTGATGAGATGCCGGTTTTCATGAAAGGGTAATTGTAACATGCCCGAGTAGATTTAGATGGTCTCGACCGGGACCGGACGGCTTAGACAAGAATATGCTACAAGTGAACGGACATAGAGTGGCGTTTTATGTCGCTCAGAATGCTTCAACTTTACATTGAATGTGGCCAATAGCTCCTGGCACTGGTGGGCCCCCACAGTCATGCCCGGAGTGATGCGGGGTTGTGGTCAAGCTCGGATTACCCCCGGATCAAATTTAGACGACTCCATTGTTCCTCGTCTGTTCCAACGTATTGCTTCCTCACATATGATTGAAGGAGTCCAGGCAGGACTTAGTTGTGCAGAGATGTCTGAATCTGCCAATGCTTCCGGCTCACCTAAACCAAAGCGTACGGCGCGACATCCTTGCGACATCTGTCGGAAGAGTTTCGCACGCCCAGAGCACTTAAACAGACACAAAAAGATACATACCAAAGAGAAATCCTTTGTGTGCCCGACTTGTGCCAAGTCGTTTGCACGATCGTATGTCCTGGCGCCCTCCTTTGCATGATTGCTGTCCCCCATTTCACTGATATGTGGGCAGAGATACCCTGAATCGCCATATCGAATCATATCCACACGATAAGCAAAGAACCGACAGTCGAGGATCCGAGCGAGCTTGTAGAGAGTGTGCCGTAGGCCGAGTGCGTTGCTCTCGAGGAGACCCTTGCGTTCGATGCACGGACCGCAATCTGATATGCGCATACCCTCGTCCTGTCAAGCGGAGGGCGGTCTCTTCAACGAGTAGTACCGATGTTAATGACCTTACCGAACTAGATGGAGCTTCAAGAGATCTTGAGCATGCGTCTTTACCGGCATCGAAGCCACGAACATCTTCCCACGAAAGGCGCAAAGACGAACTGCATCCGAGTTTCTCTGATGTTCAGACTTCGGCTCAACCAAATGTTTTTGGAGGACAGCTGCCCGCAACACATCGACAAGGGCTAGCATACATGCCAAATCCTCTCGTACAGACCATGCCAGGACAGTTCACGCCTCTACGGACGAATTGGATGACCCCTCTCGACAGTGAAGTGGTTGATTGGGAAGCTGCTCTGAGGGGGAGACTGCTCTACGAGGAACAGACCTGGACCCTTCCGGATTTGCAGGAACCCGTATCAGATCAAGTATCATGGCCACCCAGCCTCGAGCACGGAACCGTTATCCAGCCAGGGGAGCCCTGTGTATCGGAAAGATATCCAATAGCCTCACCCTCACAGCTCGGCCCCGATCAACGCAGCTCTTCGGATGTCGGAGGATCAGCTGCCTCCACATCTACTTCTGGAAGATATTATGTCGACGGAGCTGAAGCGAGAGCACCTTTTCGCGGCATGTCAAACCTGGGTAGCTCTGCGTTGACCTACGCCATAGGGAGACGGGAAAGTACCAGCCTTTGGCCTTCTGGTGCCGAGGTAGTCTCAGCTACCGAGCCCACATCCCCAGCAAATCGACCTTTCGTCTCCGACTACGCATATGGAAAGATGTCAGACGTTCTCCGTTGCGTGGCACGGAAACAGTCCTCACCAAGCCCGACTCTGCATTTACCCAGCCAGTCGCACATCAGATGGTATCTGCTTTTGTACTTCGACAAATTCCACCCTACATTTCCGTTCATACTTCAGTCGCACTGCCAGTCCCACGATGCGCCAGTGATTCTTCTTCTGGCGGTTTCAGCCATTGGCTCCAGGTACGCTCGAAGCTCAGCTGCTGCAGCTGATCGACATCTGCTATCATTAGCATTGACAAATGCCATGCGTGAGAAGTTATGGTCCTACCCTGACTGGAGCTCTTCATCACTTTACTCGCCAGATCCCGTGCTGCTTGGGGAGGATGTTGATATCGGCGATGTTGCGTTCGTCCAGGCTGGTCTTCTTTTAGTCCTACTTGAGCTTCACAGCGAATGCAGGCTCCGAGCAGAGCGCACAGCAGTTGACAGATTGTACCTTGTCAACATTTGCAAGATCCGTGGACTGTTGAAGCGAAAGGAAAGCGTCGATGCAAACCTGAGCAACGAGGACAGCCTTCGGAAATGGCAACTTGATCAAACACGTCTCCGAACAGGGCTCATGATCTGGGTAAGATTTATCACTTTGCGTCTCGGTTAACAGTATCTAAACATGCCTCCTCATAGCTGCTAGATACCATGATGGACTACGAAACAGCTTTTGGCTGCCAGATGCTGCTATCTGATGCCAATGTTGACCTTCCTTGCCACGATGAAGTGTGGAACAACCCAACAGCAGAGAGCATACGAGAAGAAGGTTCAAAAACGGGTAAGTCCTGTCTTATAGCACTGTCACGATCGGCTGACACTCAAGTCACGCTACTGCATGCATTGGAAATTCTCTACATCCGGAAAGCTTTCCCACCTCACCTCACAAGCCTTGGACTCCTCCTCCTCATTCAAGGAATCTATCGGAAGACCAGAGAGGTTGTTGCTGAAGCACGCACTCTACTGAGTTCCTGGACACCTAGTCCGGAACCCCAAGCGGTGGCACTACACAGCGATCACGACGAGACATGGCCGCCATCAAATCCAACGCTCGTCAAGTGGCGAAACAGCGCATGTGACAGTCTTGACATTCTTCACTGGTCAGAGAACAGCAAAATAGCCACAGCAGGTGGATTTGAGGCCCCAAACACCTTGCATTTGCATCTTGCTCGGTTGACAATTCTCACACCAGTAAACCACCTTCAATCATTGGCGCGGGCTCCGCAACATTGGAAGGTCAACAGCACAGCCGCAAGTCAGTCGGAGATCTCACATACCCGCGTGCTACAGTGGGCTGTCCGTGATCAATTCAAAGCACGACTGGCGGTCATACACGCCGGCTCAATCTTCTGGCACATCCGAAGATACAGTACTCAAAGCATGATTGAAGCATTTTCCGTCTATCTTGCGACCCTCGTCATCTGGGCATATAGTATGACAGTCAACATCATGAAATCATACGACAAGCCCGGAGAACAAAGTCAGGCCTCGCAAACTCCCCTTGAAGCTGCTACCCATGCTACGATGCCATCAGACACGACCGATGCCTCCCAAGACGAGGAAGAGGAACTAGAACTTTCTTTCATGAATCTTGACCGACCTGTTGATGATGAGATGGTACAGAATTATGCACGGTATGGCCAGAAGATGACTGCGTTTATGTTTGGAGTTGGTGATATTTGCGCTCCTGGCGCTCCGAAGAAGATCTTGACAGCCGGAATTCGACTACTAAGTGTTGCAAGTGGACAAAGTGACGGTGGAGCGAACTCGTCGTATGATCTCGGTAAGATCTGGGGCCATGAGAGAGGATACCATCAAGCACTTGAGACCCTCATGGTCAGTAGTCAGCCGGTTTGATCGATTCACGAACGGATGACACGTTGTGTGTTGAAAGGTAGTACACCAGGTGGGCTACATGGGGGACACCGATTGAAAGCTTGCATTCCATTGAAAAGTCACACCTTAGAGACATGCCCGTATACGCCTGACACATAATCGCTTGCTTTGTGCCTTTAGACCACAATACAACCTAGTAGAAACAAGACCGCTCTAAGGCAGCGGTGAACCCACACCAGCCTCCATGGACGGACCCCTCCCGTAGGCCATAGTACGGTCAGCACTGTTACCCCTCCCCTCGACCACTTCAGTACGGGTGCGTGTGGGATCAATTGCAGGGTGTGGTCTTACAGTGTCGAGGTCAATCTTCTTCTCGGTTTGAGTGGAAGGATCGAAATGAATGCCTTCTTTTCCTCCGGCATCCTGGTCTGGGTTGACTGATTCATATTCTAAGGCTTTGATGAACATGTAAAAGCCCGAGGCGAGAAGCGCGCCGAGGATGGGACCAACCCAGTAGATCCAATGATAGCTATGGAAGGAGTGAAGGACCACACAGGGTCCAAAAGAGCGTGCGGGATTGAGAGAGCCGCCGGTATAGTATACACCCATGAGTTCGGCAATGAAGAGTGATAGACCTATGCCGATCGGCGCGACGAAAGTTGCCTTGTGTTTCTCAGCCGCGAGCATGAAGATCGTGAAGACGAGTTGCGCGGTGAGGAACATCTGCATAATGTTAAGAGAGCTTCGGAACGATGATTATTGCCCTACCTCAATAAACAGTCCTTGAACGACACTAGTTCCGCCTCCGAGGCTTGTTCGGACATTGAGTGGGCCTGGGAGCATGGCAGAGACCACTGCCGACGATGCAATGCCACCGAGGATCTGAGCAATAATGACGAGGCAGCCGCGTAGATACGGAACAGCACCAACGAGCATCATGGCCATCGATACCTGCGACGTTAGATAAGCGGTTCGGAGGAGTAAGTTACTTACCGCGGGATTAAATAGGCCTCCGCTAATTCTGAAGAAAACCCAGGCGTTGACGGCTAAGCTCATACCGAAACAAAGTGAGATGAACAAAATCTTTGCCGGATTCGCAGCTAGATCGGAAGGCTGTGCGTCGACAGGTGCGCCATTAACAACATTCGTTCCGCCGAGGGCGAAAAGCAGAAACATGAATGTGCCTGCGAATTCCGCCATCATGGCAATGAAGTGGTTTTTGACACTTTTTGGGAGGAACGCCGGCAGCGGCACACGCCGCGAGACGATAGTCTCATCGTCGCGAGGTAGCAGCTCCTTGCGGTCCTTCCATGGGAGGCGGATAGTACGTGCAGGGCGGTCGATATTCATGGTGTCGAGTGTAGAAATGTCAGGCGTAGGGGGGCCGTGTAGAGAGTACGAAGAGCAGGGGAATTGAACAGGGGATGCTGGCAGCATGAATGTCGAGTGGGTACATTCATTACCTACCATGTCCATGACGAGTGTGATGCAGCCACTGAAGTGGTGCGGAGCTAGCGGGAGCACGCAGCCCGTGTACGGCTGGACTTGTTGGCAAGGGTCTGACTGGTACCATGATGATCGCCGCATGGGTCTAGGACAGGGGGTGTTATGGCCGACCGGGATGGCACAAGTTTTCCTGAAACCCTGCTTGCGGGCGGTTGGTCCTATTGTCTTCGAAAAGATCCAATTCGGGACAACCATGATGATCGTAAACTGTCCAGAGCAATCATGATATGAAGATGCACAACGAAGCCGCGCCTAAGCTGATAATTCTCTGCCGTTATATTCAGCTTCCGTAGGGAAAAGGATTTATATCTCGTCTGGTAGAAATGATTGGGCATGAAGATGCATCGACAAGTGACGTTTCTCAACGTCCAAACACGTGTCGGGGCATTGCTGAATTTCCGGACCATGGGAAAGAGTTCGTCATGACGTCAGTGGAGCAAACTTCGTGTTTTGGTTTGTAGAAGTACTGTGAATGCTGTTTGGTGACGTTTGCCGCTGGCAAGATACAGGTCAACCCCGTTTAACCAAGCGGGAAAAGTGCCCGCTCCCGAGATCCGAGTCGAGATTCAGATTCGCGAGCCTTGGCACTTGAATATTGGACGACACAGCCAGTGGTAGTGGTAGGAGTTCTCAAATCCTTCAGATAGTCATCCCTGTATCTGGGCGGTGAGATGGCAATCGCCTTTCGTTGGGACATCGCCGCTGTATGGAAATTCCGGGAAGCACGGTTGGACGACCACGTCGCAAGCTTATTGATATTGTCGAAGCACGCGACACGCGACAGGTTGTTACTGGAGTTATGGCGTGATGCTTTTATTGAGTTGCCTTTTGCGAGCAGGATGAAAGACGCCTAGGTTCTTGGGAACGAATGGGCCGAAATAGAGCGTGAATGCCGCGCGTGCGGTTGAATTGCAGTCAAGGCCACAACCGCCCCTGAGACGCGAACGAACTGGAGCTGTTCGAGGAGAGGAAGGGGTCGACGAAGGGGTCGCTAAAATGAAGGAACATGGAAGGTGGTGACAAGGCTCATTCGCTGGTTGCCGCGTGAGCACTGCAAGCGATGTCATGAAGGACTTTGGTGTGACCAGCCGTGATAATCGTGTTCGTATTCAGTAATGATCCCCCGAATCGTCTTCGCACGACAACAACAATGACGCGGATACCGAAAATACCCTCTTGGCTTGTCAAGTATCAGCTGCAGGTATATGTCTCTCCGTCGCCCATCCGGACCCTCGTCAGCCTGCGCAGCCACAGCCTACGCAGCCAAAGAGTAGGAGCCCGATCCCCAATCCACTCCTTGCTACTGCACTGTCACAAAGACTCGCCGGACACGGACATTTCCGGCTCCTCATGCATGCCACATGCTTGTTGCCGGATATGCGGAAGCCTCCTCTACTCTCTCACGAGTATCTAAGTCTCTGTCTCGTGCTGATGGACGTTGCGAGCCGTGAAGCAGGCCGTGCAGCTTTCCGCCACCTACCGCAGCGTGTGATAACACCCATCTGCAAGCTATCCTTTGCGTGAGCGCTCTTCCTACTGACACGCTGGGCAATGTCTATGTCGCCGATTACAGGGACGCGTGAGTGGGTGACCTGGCTGTAGCGAACGGAACCACATAGCAAAATTCTCCCAGCGGAAAGATTCTGGCTGTGGGGCCAGCTATCGGGGCCTGCACACAAGAGCCTTTTAAGCGTGCAATCTGGGAAGATTGTCCACGACATCGTCCTGCTCGCGGTTGGAAGCAAACGCTAAACGTGCAATGTAGGGTCGCCATTGGCGATGATCTGACGATCTACGGTTGGTGGCACCGGACTGCTCTCAGTAACCGTGACTATACTTTCCTGCTGCAGCTTCAAGATGCAGCGTCGATGCCACCTATCCATGGCCTGGCTTGAGTCCTTTCGGCTTCAGTCACGACCCCAAAATTCCATGTCACGCGTCGCTGCTCCTTGCTGGCAACCGCCCATCTTCGTCCGCACTTTTCTGCCACCACCCGAGGGTGGGCGATTGTCTCTGTTGCCGCTTGCCGCGTTCCTCTGCTCCCTTCGGCTTCCGCTTGATGTTGCACACCTGACAGCGTCGGCTAAATCGTGATGGGTGCGGCGATTAGCTCAGCTTCGTATCTCGGTAGAAGACGCAAGCACAATATCGCGCTGGGGAATAATGTGCGCAATATGCATTCTACTAAGATCCTGCTACCATTGTACACGACATGCATGGCGAGACCACAATGACCCAGAATGTCTGTGTGTAGGCGCGGCGTCAGCCCGAGATTGCCAGTTGGGAATATCGTTATTGACGACACAATATGTATGATTACAACTCGCATTTTTATCCTGACGTACAAACTCTCAGCAGACTGCGTAGGCACAATACACTGTGAACTTTTACTGCCAGAGGTAGCAACGCCCACTCACCTCACGGCCCCATACCACAAACACCGTGAAGATCCAACAACCACGACCAGGCACGATCCACTGCACGCGGAACGCGATCATAATGGCACTAGGCGCCCCGCCTAGCATTTCCGGCCACTCACCGTTGTTAGTCGATCTTCAGCGAGAATTTAGAGCGATACTCGTCCGTGTCGGACACTGCTGGGGTAGTGTGCTTTTGGAACACTCCGGATACGTTCGTGAATACGTTCTTCTCTATCCAACTCGCACCCAGCATAGTTTGAATCCGTGTACACCCAAAGTTCATTGATACAGAGGATGTCAGCCTCAGGCAACCATATCTTGGCCGTATCCAGCAAGATTGGTCGGTGGCGAATTGAAACGGTATATCCTGTAAAACTGGTTACCATGGCTCTTCGCAAAGCACTCACAGGTGTCACCATGTAGTATCGAATATACGATGGATGTGGGATGTCAAATGGTGAACTCTGCCCAACGTGGCCGCGCTACTGATCCAACAACCTCTAACAAGCTGTTCAGCCGCCTGTCTTGCTGAAGCAGCGTTTGAATGCGCCAATATGAGCTTCTCCGCGATCCATAGAACTCCAATAGGGTGACAGTATGCTTCCGAGCGACCATTATGGGGCTGATACCGATTCCGCCCTATAATGACTTCCGCCCACCGCGAAGACTTGGCACTGGCGGAATCGCCGACATCATCTACTGAAGTGACCGGAGTGTTTGTGTTAAGCTCCACAGAGACTACGGTATTGTTAAGGCTTGTACTAAGTGAAGCGCACACTTATACACGGTGAAGTTGGCTCCTCCAAACATCGTCACCTCTGAGAAATTTTACACACGCACGCTCGATGAGACCGAACGTTCCACGGACCGGGTGTTTTCGGTCAGGCTCCGCATATGATGCGGTGTCTGTTGCATGAGTATGGGAAGAAACGGAGTTCCATCAGCGCCCCTACATGCTTTTAGGGTTAGCATCGTCGCCAAGATCTTTCGCACTTCCGGGCTTATCGACGTAAAGCGTTGGGCCCAGCAGGAGGGCTCAACTGAGCTCCACCTATATTGCGGAAGCTACTGTGTGACTGGATGGAGAGGCGAAGACCCGTACATTTATATATAGGCTTCATAACTCACCGCCTCCAGGCCGTTGCCATTACAACGCCAACCAAACCTTCGCTCTCTACGGTTAGCTCACAGGTCGCTCGAGATATCCATGTGGAGTACGATAAAGCTAGTCTGTGACATGGCGGGCCGTATATGGACAACTCATGTCTCTCCGTCATGCGGAGCTCCAAACCGGCGAAAAGAACTAGCTCTTGATCTTCGAATGCTCCAACCACATCTATACTGTCCGCGGGAGGCTAGCGGAGTTGGGCTAGCCTATCACTCTTTGCGGGAACCAGGTACGGACGTGTGACTAGCTCAGGTCCCGAGCACCGGGGGAAACGTGCAACAGTACCGAACACTCCGAAGATGGTGTGAGCTCACCCAGAGCCTTGTATGTCTTCTGCCGATCCAGCGTTGACATAGTCTGACTCGCAGGCTGCAAGAAAGGGTGTGGGAGCAGGATTCTAGTCGTCAGGACATGGATAGCAGCGATGTTTTCAAGCGCTCCATTTACGACATGGACACGCCCCTAGGATCCGAATCAACTCTACGGACCTGTTGCGGACGCATAGTAACGTAGCGGACTTCGCCAGCGAGTGTAACAAGAAATATGATCTCAACGCCCGCCAGGTGTGCAGCTATGCTCCTCACTTACAGCAGCGACCCGCACTAGGATACTCTAGTCCACCCGCTAGAGCCCACGGCGCTGTGACACCCATGAAAGCGCAACGGACCGTGAGTTGATAAAGGGTTCGATGGCCCAGCTTGGCGGATCGACGCTGCGAATAGCTCTTATTGACTGCCCCATCTCCAAACCGATCCGGTCACGGGCCGTGATTTTGTCCAAGTAAAGCTGTTTAATCACTCCTGGTGTTAATACCATTAGTCCTGACCGAGGATCTTGGACAGCAGCGGTAGCACCTTCATAGGTTGTTCGTGACGGAGAAACACGTTGGAGCTTCTTAGAAGTATGTTGATGGTACGGGTGTAATAGTGTGATCACTCAGGAGTCCGGAGAGCCTAATGGACTGCGAGGTCGGAGCGGCTTGTATTTGCCAGTAGTTCACGGCTGTCTACCTCAGCTAACACGTGATCGGCCACGATAGCCTTCCGCCCGGCTCAGGCGACATTTGTGAGAGAGAGATATAGAGCGCTGGTGGAGCTTCCCAGAAGACGGAGAGCTGCTGTGCGTGGAGCGACTTTATCACCTAGTGATAGTAAAGTAATGAGCATCCTTGAGCGGTGGGAATTGGCATGATAGATTCCGTTCACACGGGGAGATAGTAGTATTTTGTGATAACAGTGAACCATGAGCAGGAACGGCCCCAGTAATCAAGAGTGCCAGCCTCGACTAGTTCGTCTCTACTCTTCCCTCGAGGTGCACCAGAGAACTTTTCCTTGCTTTAATCCTTGATCATGAACGACAAGCTTTCATTCATCTCGAACCCGGTCCAAATACATGCACCCTTTCTTTCTCTTCCTTCTTCCGTCTATCAAATCCCTTGAATTCTTTCTTCTGGTTGCTGGACTTGGTCTTTCCCAGTGACTCTGAATAGAATGAAGGCTCAGCCTGGGTGGGCGACTTTCGGCCAGAAGGTTCAGCCTGTCCATCGACCTCCGAAGTAGTCTCACTGACACTCCTGTTTGCAGGGCTAACTTCCAAAGGGTCATTTGACATGCGACCTGCTCGATTTTTTTCTCGGCCAGCCTGGCCAGAGGTACTAAATGAGACATTCTGTAATGCCGCTACAGCATCATCGCTACCAGACTTAGAGTACTCCGTGGATTGCGTGTCGATATTAGTGGTGTGGCCCTGGGCTCGTTTGACGCTGTCAACTTTTGACTGAGCGTTCTCTTCTTGCCGAGACTCGGATTGGGTGGCCTCGTTCTGGTGTTTAGTGTTAGAGGCATCCGTCGAATAAAGCTGAGCAGTCCTTAACGTTCCTCGGATCGGTCCAGCTGGCCGCCAGCTAGCCAAGACGTGCGGGCTGACTCTGAACATTGTAATCTTGCTAAGAACAGGTGTGAGGGTGGAGGTGAGCTATTACTTTGGGACTGGCAATGCAAAGTACTGGGAACACTACAGCTGTGGTTGAAGCGGAAAGGCGGAAAACCGTGGATATATGCATCCAGACGTCATTCGAGGAGACCTTTGACGTCATGCGTTACTGTCCCTTGGCAAGGTTCGCTTTATGGTAGATGCTTCAGCAAACACATCCAGTAGCAATATCAACAAAGATGAATAACAAGGAGCCAGCGGATCTACCTACTCCTTAGGAGGACTCAGAGCGGGCAAGGACATTCCGTTCAGCTGCATCCCAGACTCGGTTGATTGCGAACTGTAACCCCCCTACGATTCTTCCCGAAGTATTCTGCCTGCCAGCATGGACTCTTACTGGACACATGTCACGACCTGAGTGCTATAGTATGCTCAGGCTAGTGTGAAGCCATTCTTAGACGTGAAAATAGCGAGTGGAGGCCTCCGCTAGCTTCTAAGCCGAATTCACCAGCACCTCAATCTACATCAAGCTCAAAGCGTCACATATATCTGGTCTGCGTCCATCATGGCTGATATAGCCGCGCGGAAGTGTCCCCGCTTAGCATGGTGCCTTGAAGGGTTATAATTCTTGATGAAAAGGGACCATGACCCAACCCTGTCTTGATTCAACTCCAGACCAGCACCGCCACAAGACCATCATTGAGCCATCGTCACACGGCTGAGACTATTAATCAGTCTACAATTAAGAAGCTTCGGCGAGGGCAGTCTACTTCTCATCGACCTCGCCGACCTCGTCCTCCTCACCCACCTCACCCTCCTCGCCGACCTCGCCCACCTCGCCCTCCTCACCCACCTCGCCATCCTCATCCTTCTTATCTACCTCTTCCTCCTTATTCTCCTCACGGGCCTCACCGTCCTCGCTGCCAGCGGCCAGTCATTGCATGCATGAGCTGCAGCGCATTCGGGGGCACTCAGAGGTGGACTACGACCATCCATTCTTGAATTGTAAGCTGTAGCCTCCTTTGAATTCAGGACTCTCGAGAGTAATAGGCCGTTCACCCACACTATCTGGCATCTATACTTTGGCTCCCAATCCCCGCAACGCTCCCACTCCGGTCAACGGTTTGACCGCCCCCTCTATGAGACGCAGGTCAATGTTTTTACTGATATAGTCGCAATTGTGTCTAGCAAGATGATAGAGCACGCAGGTGCGACGCCCGCAGTTGGTTCCACATTTGGTGCAGTTGATATAGTGAAGGGCGAGCTCCTGGGTCCAAAGTCATACAAGGCAAAGAAGCCAGTGGAAGACATGGAGTCCTGTCAGGCAATACGCGCTTGGCGCTCGGTAGGTCATGTCGGCGAGTCTGCGACAGTCTTGGTCTTCTCGCCGACGAGGTCGACACTTGTGCCTACCCTACTGCCCTCAGTCTTAGTTTTAAGCCTCGGGATCTAATGATTTGCATGTAATCACCGACGTCCTGCGAATGATATTGATACAGGCATCATCCAACTCGGCGCTAGGCTCTACCAATGTGATATAGCCTGAAACCCCCGCTACCTACCGTCCGCAGTCCTCTTTGCATTGATCTTGAGATGGTCAGTGAACTCGACCTGCTTGAGCCGGATAGCGATCCTTGCGGGGCTCTCTGCGGGCGAGACAATGAGCACGGCTCGCGAGCTAGAAACGAATCCACCAAGGTCGGTGGAGATCACGAGCTTGTAGCTACCATAGGATGTTTATATAGAGGACACAAGATTCCAGCACTGGCACTAGAGGAACAGTACCGTCGCTCACAACAACGAAGCCACTATCACGCCAAACAAGGACGACGCCACACTAGATTTTGAGCGCCTTCTAGGATCGGGGGCTCGGGTACTATTGTCGAGGGACGCCTCGAGGTTCGACATGTCGTGCGTGCTCCGCGACTGAGCCTGAGCCGACCCAGTCTGAAAAGTTGCCATCTCGCAGTGAATCTTCTCCCTACCGAAGGATTCGAGGACGTATCGGCGTTTCTCAGTTCTAGAACACTCCCAAAAACACGGGGTTCGACCCAGATCCTGAGTGGGTTTGGAGGTGCTGAATCAGACACGAGATCAGTCCATGGATCACCAGATGTGGAGGTCTCTTTCTACTGACTAGGTATCGAGCTTCCCGTAACTGGCCTCGATCAGCGTGTCGATGTCTTCACGACCACATGAGAGCGATCACTGGCGCGCCATCACCGGGGATGTCGACGTGAAGCGCACTAATGTCAACCCTGGCGAGTAACTCCAGATATTCAACAGAGGACACTATGTTAGATGGTAGTAGCATTGGTGTGTCAGGGAAGATAGCAGATGGTGGTTAACTCCAGCGAAAGTCGCGCGGCTCCAACAGCTAGCCCGGCGGCAGAAATATAGAACATCACCTTACGTTGCGGCTTCGACTCGAACAAATGAAGGAGGAGCGTCGTGTGGAATGCCTGGACACGATCTGTGACGAGAGCTTGCTGGGAGCGTGACTGATCAGACACCATTAAAGAAGCCTGGGCTACTGTAGACCAGTCCGACCTCGACAACCTCCCTCCTTTCGCTATCCCCGATAGTGGCTTCGACGCATGATCACCAATACAGGAATATCGCAAGTCCCGACACCGCCAGCCGCACTAAACCCCCTTCCTCACCTGAAATGTACTTGGACATGCTCGAGTCGCCGTGGGCCGGCTTTTCCGAACACCTGCCGCCGACTTTTGTCCCTACTCAGCCTCCTGTCAAGCAGCAAGGTCGATACGCGGTGCTCTTACACAGCCAGGGATGGACGAGTGCGTCTCATCTATGAGTCGGGTATGACGAGGGCTGTGCTCCACTTGCCTACGCACTGGTATGAAAGAGCCCATCGACTGTAGATGAGCTGCCAAAACATTTGCTTTGGCTGCCGCCTTTGACGTTCGCCGTTGCCCTTTCAAGTTGACTAGGACGTTGTGCGAGTTGAAAGTGGGCACGGAACATGCCAGAAAGAGGAGTAATCTATGTAATAGCAGTATCCGGTCGGATAAACCACGAAGAAGGCGATGTAACAGTGATTGAGTGGGCACTGAGACCTTTTTCGACATCCCGTATCACAGACGGTCTCTCAGAAGCATAGCCAGTCTACTGTGGAGATGTATGGCCTCGGCGCTTCGTAGTCGTGGATGCACTATGCAGTTGATGTTGCATGGGGGCTCTCAATAAAAAACAAGTCTCTTGCTCGGGAGGGGAGATTGGGGGAATAGAACGATGTAGCGGTACCGATTGTGCCATGACCAGGACCGAGCTATTGCACTGGCTGCAGTGTATCAAATTCTTGTGTACGACGGGACCGGCGCCATCGGGAAAAGAAAGCCACAAGAGTTGTTCATGTACTCGTGTACGTGACGCGAAGTGCCACACGCGTTCCGTTCGGCGTAATTGCGCTGCAGGTGGCAAAGAGAAGCTCTCCTATTCCCATGCACAATCCGTCAGTAGGCTTCTTTCGTCTTGTCTGACCAGAATGGCGTCTCCGTATCTGCTCATCTTGTCTTCAGCACCTACGTGTTCAACCAGATTCGCGTGCCTGGTAGCCGTGATCACTGATAATTGAACAAGATGTGGTTTCATTCTGTGTGCCATTGCTTAAGAGCCATCGTTCACGGTGAGATGAACTGCGGAAGTATATGGTCGACGCCGACATATTCGGATACAGGTATTGCACAGCGATGGTCAACGGTGTTGACGCCAAGCTTCGTCTGAGGGGTTGATATTGGATGTTTCGTGCCCTTCTTTGGGTTATTGAGCTGAGTGTCTCCAGCTTCACCATTTGGTGTTGGCTGTCGGTAGCTCGTTCACGGAGCATCGATCAATATCAAAGGCTGACAGACGAGTACACCTGGTGTGGGTGCCACCCCCCGACAGTGCGCATCGTGGAAGGCTGATGTAGCAGAACAGCACCAGTATCACTGGAGCTGGGGCAGCGGTCACAATTACGAATGCCATCACACAAGCGGATACATGGCTGACTGTGTTGGAGAGCAAAACGGAGGAGCTGGACATCAAAGACAGTGATCAAGAAGAGACCTTGGAGCTGGAGGCAAGGCGGACGCGCTGGGGCAACTACAAGAAGAACAGAAGGCACTCGACGCGTCACACAATCTGCTGGAGGAGCCGTTGTCTAAGTCACAGGAGAGGTAGTTGTAGAGGCCGCCGTAGGGTACTAGAGACGTACCTTCGATAGTTGGATATGTTTAAGACCGTGCTGGAAGCAGAGGAGGAGCGGATACCAGGCAAGCATCCCATGGAGCTGTCTCGCCTAGTAAGATGCTCGGGGAGCATGTGGCTGCACATCTTGCTATCGTGGGTTTTCAATCACTCTGATAGCATACCCTTTACGCAGCTCCGGGCATATCTGGGGAGGGGAGGTAGAAGCGGCTACAGGAGGATCACCAGGGAGCGGAAGCAGAGATGTCCAGAGACCAGAAGCTGGGTGAGTGCAGTCGTGCTCCCATACTGCGCTTATTCGAGCGGTGGCTTCAGGAGCATGTGATCGACCGGCCTCTCATTAAGCAGATCCTATGGGATCATGAGGATGATGTCCACACCTCGCTTAGAATCACAAGTCAGGTGGCCAGGTCAGCGGTACTGGCCAAAATCAAAGTCGTGGCCAATCGCTGCTCTGCGGAGCGCCTGCAAAGCGTAAGGCAGATGTTGGGCAGGATCAAACTAACCTAGTGATACTGCATTGATGCAAGTAGTCCTAGCGTAAGACTTTACGTCCACGGGAACGATCTGCCTCTTCGGACAGCATGATGATGTAGGAGATCGGCGTCCTGTTGAAGTGCCGCAGAGGTTCCTGCAGAGTGCCGCCGGTGAAACAGGGTAAGCTGAGTTCTCATTCGTGAATACAGATATGCAAGTACAACCAATGGAAGGGTGCCACGTCCTTGGTGCATTTTGGAGGTTCAGGCGACTTTAGCAGATTATTGCAGCTTCGCTTTATTAACGTGTCTCACAGCCACAACTTCATCTGGCGGGCAACATGGTGATACCACATAACGTTCCTTGGCAGACAGCACTTGTTCGTGGTAGCCTTGAAACCTCATCCTGTCAGAAGGACGAATACGGACATAACGGAGCGCCTGCTCACAAAGATTGCGACATCCTTGCCCCCATTCCGTGCACACTATTATCATCTCTTGATACTGTGTGGGAGGATCATGAACACTAGATGCAGCATGGAGGTGAATGGCTATATCATCCCTCCGCCAATGGAAACTCCGCAATGCATCAAGGTTCTTACTACATCTCCACAGAAGAATCGCCATCCCCGGCGATGCGGGTGCAGAACTAGTCAAGAAGACCTGAAGCAAGCAGGGTGGTTGACCTCGGAACTTATGCGTCAGACGGCGGAAGAGAAGCCGACTACTATCGAACGCATTATCCTTCTACGTGTGTGCAGAAACACACATCGGCAGATTCTCAAGGTTGCTGACCAATCAGCGACTCTCAAGAGTCTAGTACAAGCATACAAGGAGTCTTGCCCGGATTTATCGCCGTACCAAACGATGCCGCGGTTGGAGGAAGAGCTTTTTGAGCCTTATCGTACTAGGAGTCGCACAAATTCGGTGCAACATCTTCTGCCACTAAAGATCAATCAAGAGCAGTACAAGTGGGGCTGGATTTACATCTTTGACTGGCCCAGGGCACCAGGATTCTTGAAAATAGGATATGCAAAAGCTTCAGCTGAGAAGCGAACAGATAAGTGGGGGCTTTGCCATCCAGAGTCGACTCTGCTATACCATGTGGAACTTGCTTTCCCAGAAAGAATGGAAAAACTTATCCATGCTGAGCTAGCAGATCAGAGACATCGCCTCCGTGACATTTGCTCACGATGTAAAGAGAAGCACACAGAATGGTTTGCAGTCACCATTGAAAAAGCACAGCGAATAGCAAGGGACTGGAGTACAGTGGCCGCCTCCCCACTCTACATGGAAGACCGAACTTTGACCCAACAGTGGGTACAGATCATTGGAAGCCTGCCGCGAGTGGACTCGTCGACTCTTTCTCAACACTTGAAGAGGCATCCATCTGCTGATATAAGCAGGTCTCGCGCTGTGTCACAGCAGCCAGAGACATCATCAAGATCTTCGAGTATTAGTGAAGGTATTGTTCCATTTATGCCGTCCAGTAGGCACTCCCTGGAAGACAGACAGGTGGGTGGTCTAGTGGCCGAGGTGGACAGTCTAACCATTCGCTGAGATTCGCTGCACGGAAAGAGAGAAAACGGACATGATGGATGCGTCGTAATCCAGCTGTACGCCTGGTGCTCACAAGCTCCGGGGCCGGATTTGACACGAAGGAACCAACCGTGCTTCCACATGACCACCTTCTGAATCTACTATAACGCTGAATAAATCATATCCCATATTCTAATACTTAGCTACTGTTCCTGCTGACGTCTTGTTATGTATTCTGTCAACCAAACTTTCGTGAGATGTCATAGGAGCTTTTGCGAGGCACGGCAGCAACGAGAACGACCTCGAGTCGTGACAGAAGCTCTGCCAGATCCTGAACATTCGGGACGTGCCAGAGGAGGTCGAGGCATGCCGGGGGGTGAGCCTGGGGGCTGTACTACTGTTTCATCAACTCCTGCAGGTTGATGAGGTCGGTCAGAACTGCCATGATTGAGACTAACAGCCATCCAGCTTGTAGGCAAGACACACGTCAATCTGGGGGATCTTTGTGGACACGCCTCGAACTGGTTGGCCTGTGAGGACCATACACAGCTTGAAGCAGCTATAAGACTACACTATCGACACCGGAAAGCTCTTCCCTAAGCAGGATGCATATGCGGGTGGGTTTTTCAGATACTTGTTTCGCGAAGTACTCTGAACCGCCAGAGACATCAGTGGTCAAGATCAATTCAGGCGAGTAATATCCTATCGCAGTTCGGTGTTCTGGAGCTTTAGCAATGCCGTCTTTGCGGCGAAGACGATTGCTTCATCAGAAGACTCATACCCATCGACCTGGACAAATACTGTGTCATCGAGCTTGATGGAACACGAGAACTTCCCATCCTTCCGGGACTTCTTCATTTCGTAGTCAAGAGTGCTTGAGCCCGTTTTCCAGTCCAACCTAGTGCGCGGATGCACAACGTCCACATCTTCGTCCGTTAGTCGTCTCAAGTACGCCATGATGCCAATTCTCTCAAGAAAGCTGATGCACTCATCTAATGACCCCTTAGAGTCGACATAGATGGCCCTAATGAGGCTCTCAATGATGTCAGAGAAGAACTTATCTGGTCGTAGAGACGCCAGATGTGTCCACGGGTACACGAGACTCGATTGTATTTCGTGGCGAATGGTATCCCCATACTTGCTCAGTCGCTCGCTGGCCTTGTCACAGCGCTCGTGCATGACAAGGGGATGACACCGCATCAACTGCCACAGATGTAGCAACCGTACTTCTTCGATCACTTGGAACTTGTTCAGCGAATTCTGTTGCACACTCTTTGATTGGCTCGAGTGCGCAAAGTTGAGGCAAAAGAACCCCAGAAGGTTCCCATTTGCCATCGCGGCTTTGATGCGAGTCATATCTCCAGATGACCATTTGCGGTTGCCTTGCATCAGATGACAAGCCATGATCGCATCTAGAACGGCGTCTCCGAGGAACTCCAGCCGTTGATAAGACTGCACGAGATGGTCGCCCTCGAAAGATGGGTGAGTTAGAGCTTCTATCAACAACAACGGGTGGCGAAACTTGTAGCCCACAACCTCCTCAACCTCTCCTACAGCTGGTTCCTGCCAGTTGTCAGGTGGTCGAATCTCAAACTCAGGCGACGGCAAGTCAATCATTGGGACAAGCTTTGAAATGCACAGCCGTGAGAGCTCGAATCTTCCGTCGAGAAAGGCGGCACCGACAAGAGCCTCTACAACATCGGCGAGAAGCTTGGTTCGGACCCTCCTTGTTGATTTGGGCTCCCTATCCAGATCGGACATGTAGATTGGCCACCATTTCTTCCAAGAGTTTTGGCGTGTACGTATGAAACGCGGTAAGCCCACAGCCTTTGCTGCCGAGGCTAGATATTCGTTCGAGACCAACAACGCCCTTTTCCGCGTGAGGAAGCCCTCTGGCCAGTTCTGATGCTGTTCGTATAGCTTGACTGAGATAAGGAGCTTGAAGATAGAGTCGCCGAGGAACTCCAGGGCGTCGTAGTTACATCTCATTTGGAGCGAGGGTGGTGTAAGAGCTGCGAGGTAGAGTTCAGTATTCTTGCAAGGGATCCCTTCTAGGACTGTATCCAGTAGAAGTCGGACCGTCCAGCTGTCTTGAAGCTGCTGAAGGATCAATGGAAGGAGTAGGTTGAGCCGCGCAATTTCAGCTGGAAGGCGGTCGATCATGCACTCGACTGCAGCATATAGAGTGGTGTGACGATACTTGGCGTCTGTCGCACTACTTTCGTTGGAAGAATGTGCCTTCAGAGTGATTGGGTGAGCAAAATTCCGCCGTTTTAGAAGTGGGATGGCTTCAACTTTTGTTCCTGCATCACCATCGTCGGCCTGTGCTGCACTCCAGCCCACGAAGAGCGCGGGCTGGCCACCGTGCTGAGAGCTCCTCAAGAAGCCGGATCGCAGACTGTGAAGAGCCCCTATCGGACTGTCTAGGAGAGAAATCCTCCCACTATTGTCCTTCAGCCATGTAGGTAGAGCTGATGGGTCCAGATGTGGTAAGAAAAGTACAAGAAAGTCGAGTCGCTCCTCAGTGGAAAAGTCGGAGTGCGTAGAGCGGCTGATGAGATATGTTATCCGCCTCATGAGATCGAGCTCAGAGCTGACTTTCATATCTCTCTTGCACTTGTCGCGAAAGGAGATGTCGACAGTAGTATCTGGATCCCAAAACGCACGCATGTTGCGTAGAGGAGGAGGCTGACACGGCAAGGCCACAGCCATGGATATTTGCTGCTCGTCGGAAGCACTGCAGAATCGGAACGTGGTAACAACATAGTGCATAGAGGTGGTTGACCAGCTTTCACGAACACCGATCCAGGGATCGAACTCTGGGTCAACTTCAACCTCGGCACCAAGCCGTTCGAACTGAGGTAACTCAAGGTCGATGTCATGGGTAACGGGGAGGAGGTTTTCGTTGATAAGGCGTGCTTCATACAAGGCCTTGTAGCATTGAAACGCGGCATCAATTGCTGCTGCCCGTTCCGTTTCCCAATCTCTTTCACCGTGGGTGACACGAATACTCGCGTCGATTCCATTTGGTAGGGTGACTGTTCCTCTGACCAACTCGTCATGTTTGCCGACTCGCACAAATGAAAAGGCTGGCCGCAGATCTGTACCAGGCTGCCGAGGTAGGCACTGACAGAAGTGGTGAAGGTGTGACATAGTCTCGCTTGCTGTAAGACTCGCTCTGGACTTGAACGTTAGATCCGGACTAAAAGGAGGGAATTAACGGACCCAGTGGACGAGGCTCTGAGCACAAAACCTACGAATTCTTGATCTGGAATCTGCGCAGTATCGTTACCTTTCTCGCGCGCAGGGTCCTGATAAGCCGACTTTAGCTGTCGCTCCAGCTCTCGCCACTCCTCCAGTCTTGCATGGGAGTCCCCTTTCTCAAAGAAAAGTGCAAATCCTGATTTTCCAGCGCGCGCCCGCCCTCGGCGTTGGATGAAGGACCTCACACTCTGAGGGAGATCGAAGCAGACGACAACGTTGCAGGCTTGCACGTCTATGCCTTCTTCAAGCGCATTGGTTGCAACAATAATGTTATATCCACTGGATCGAAAACCCTCCAGGGCTTGAGACTGGACTTTTAGGTCGAGAAGCTCGGGTAATCGGTACTTGCGACTGCTAGCATTAGACATACCAACAAATGGTGCGCTCTGGAAGTGTGCGCTTGTAGATGGATGATTGCTGAGAATCGTGCTCAGGATGCTTGCTGCAACACGTTGCTCCACGAAAATGAGCGTTTTGCTTTTGTTGGGATCCCTGGTATCAAGGAACGCTAGAAGAGCTGCGACTTTGTCAGATATCAAGAGTTTGAGCTGGAAGCGCTCCTGCTCCAGCCGATTGAGCTCCGCATCCTTCCCTAGCAGAGTCACAAGGCGATCCTTCTCGTCATGAGTCCAGAGAAGGAAAAGCTCATGTTTCTCATCCGAGAGCCTTTTCAGAGTCTTGATGGTTTCCAAGACAAAATACTCCGCACCCCAAGATCCAAGGATATGGCAGATATACTCTGATTTCTTCCGGAATTGGATCAGCTGAGCTTGCCACGGGCTACCAAATGACATCGTACGCGAGCCTGGCTTTGGTAGCAAAGACTGAGGAGCAGAGTCCTGGTATTGCGAAGAACCCATCGAGTCCAAACAGATCCTGCAAAGTCTCTGCAACGCAGGACCGTACTTTGGCGATATGTCGATGTTGTAGACCACGGGAACAACATCTGGAGGGTGGACGTACAACGTCAGCTCGTCGCGGTACTTTTGAGGGGTAACTGCTGTAGCGTGCAGATTTGACTCGATGATTCTGCGGCAAGATCAGTTGAGTTCTCGGGTGTTTGCCATTCCAGAACTTATTTCAGTTGCTTGAGCTTCGATTGGATGGGGCTGGCCGTCAAACCCAAGATATGAGGGACTGAATCGAATCCGAGCTTCATCCTACGGGGATGGTAGAACCTTTGCATGATCGCGTTGGCTGGATGCTTGCGAACACAGTGGTGCGCTTCTCGCTTCAGTCACGTCCTATAGCTAGTGGGAGTCTTCCACGACGGAGCTGGACTGACCTTCGTCAAATACCAGAAGACTTAGGGTCTCGAGCTTCACAAAATTGTGGGCCAAAGCGTCCTCCAGAATTTTGTGCGTTGAGATCACGAGACGGACATGATCCAGTGCTGCGTCCCATATGCTTTGCTCGCTCCAACGATGAACGTTGTCGGAGCCTACAAGCAGCTTGATTTTAGTTGCAGGAAGTCCTTTGCAGAGCTCTCTGTATTGCTGATTACACAGTTCCACATGAGGCGCAAGAAACCAAACAATCAGGGACTGTTAGCTGATCTTTCATGGTCTGGAAAGGGCATCTATCACACCTTGGTACACGGAGATCGCTCCAGCTCTGCTCGAATGCGAAGTAGAGCACTATAGACCGCATCAATCATCATCAAGCATCTTCGAGTCAACTTACACATGTGTCTTGCCACTGCCTGTGTCCATCTGATATAATTGATGAGCTTTGGCCAGGCATGTTGATGGTCACCTACTGCCACAATTATGTTCTCTAGCATACTCCGCTCGAACATTTCAAGTTGGTAGCTTCTGGTGCGCACGCTTGGACCCTCCGTTGCAAGTATTGGATATTGTGTTGAGATGTTAGTATTGTCCGGCAGCTCGATCCAGAGTGATGAGGTTGTACAACACACGCCGCCAAGCCTTCATGCCTCCTCACAAGCACACGCCAGAGCCTTTAGGTCAGGCAGCAACTTTGCGGGGCTTGGACTATCCAACCCAATGAGAAGCACAAGTCGTTCCACTGCTGAAGGGAGAGGCTTTACTCATTGATTCACGTGTGCTATTAATGCAAGAGTGAAGCATCCACGCCTTTGCATCGGTTTTGGCATCTGATTTTCTCGTCTCTCGCCCTCTAAGCAATCTATTTCATGCTATCTCTGCATCCCTATGGCTAGCAGGGGCTATTCACGAGGTGGCCGGCAAGGCGACGCTTTCCGTGGCCGCGGGAAAGGTCGAGGTCGTGGTGCTCCTCAGGTGGCAGTATTTCAGTATCGGTGCCCTGTATCCCGGACATGGTCAATATACTGACAGTACCAAGGCCACAACCATCATACCCAGCTCTTATCGATCCAGTCGTGGAGCAAAAGGAAGATGCAATCGCCAGCGGCCTGAAAGGTCTCCAGCCGACGGAGGCACAGTTCCCGTACCGACCAGGTTTCGGAACTCGAGGCAAACAGATACAACTCTGGACCAATTACTTCGAGCTGATACATCACGGTGATCTTGTTCTCCACCGATACGCAATCGCTATACTCCCCGACCGAAACGGCAAAACACCTGCTGGCAGGAAGTTGAAAAGGATCATCAAGATCCTTCTCGAAGAGCATCTCGGCCAATACCGGCCGGGAATTGTCACCGATTATAAGTCTACTATTCTTAGCAAGGACGCTTTGGAAGTTACTGGGTCGTACGACGTGAGCTACCGGGGCGAGGAGGAAGAAGATCCATCCCCAAACCAAATTATCTATCAGGTCACACTTCACCAAAACGCCGTGCTGTCGATTTCTGAACTTCTCGACTACGTAAACTCCACGGACTCTACACGGCTGGTTGGATCAAAGGAAGAGTTGATCCAAGCTCTGAACATCGTCATCGGACACTGTCCCAAGGAGGAGCCCTCCATAGTCAACATCGGGGCCAACAAACATTACGGCATGTTACCTCCAAGTGATAGATTTGATCTGGGAGCGGGCCTACGCGCTATCCGCGGCTTTTTTACGAGCGTCCGACTAGCTACTGCTCGTGTACTCGTCAACGCTCAAGTGAAGCACGCAGCCTTTTACACTGCGGGTCCGTTGGACGGCTTGATGCAGAGTTTCATTCGCGAAAACGGACAGAACAAGGTCAAATTGCTCAAGTTTGTCACACGACTCTTGGTAAATGTCACTCACATTGTTCGGAGAAGTAGCAGCGGCCGAGCCATTCCCCGTATCAAGGTTATCGCGGGTCTTGCGAAGCCAGCTGATGGAGCACAGCAGCACAAGCCACCCGTCGTCCCCGAATTCGGTGCAGGCCCAAAGAATGTGCAATTCTTCCTTGCTGGAGGCCAGAAACAGCCTCCTAAGCCAAAAGGTGGCACAAGTAAAGGCGCTGTCAGAGGTGGTGCTGCATTGGGACCAGGGCGGTATATCAGTGTCTTTGACTTCTTCCAGCAAAGTAAGCCCCATCCCCTTCTCTTTGCCTCGTGAGAAAGCTAAGTTTTGACTTTCAGCCTACAACATTACAATTCGAGATACCAGTCTTCCAGTGCTTAACGTCGGTACTTCGGACAATCCGGTCTATCTTCCTGCTCAAGTGTGTGTAGTACGTGGCGGCCAGCACACCGTGCAACAGCTCAGTCCTTCACAAACCCAGAACATGATAAGATTTGCCGTGCGATCGCCGGAACGCAACGCGACTTCAGTCACTGTCACTGGCAGGCAATTCCTAGGATTTGATTCTACAAGCAGCACACTCGTAAGAGAGCCTCAGCTAGTGTTCTCATATGCAGATACTGACGTGTATAGAGTACCCTTGGGCTCAGAGTTGATCACAAGCTCTTGTCAGTTGCAGGACGTGTTCTAGACAGCCCCAGCGTCTTGTATCATGGTCTGAGAGAGGCGGGGACTCAATTTGGTAGCTGGAATCTACAGAAGGCGCGTTTTGCGACTGCTAAAGCCCTGCCCTACTGGACATACCTCGCAATCTCTTTCGCTGGACGAGATTTGCCATGGGGTACGGAGTCCAATCTCCAGAACCAAATCAGCGAGTTGACCAAGAAATTGAACGAGGTGGGCATCACTGCAGCTCGATGCATTCAGGGAATGACCTTGTCGGTTAATGCAGCGAATGCTGAGTCGCAGATTGATGCCGCCATCCATCGATTCATGAACAGCCCGAATAGACCGCCGCCCAACTTCCTGCTGGCCATAATGCCTGCAAGAGACGCAATGATCTACAATCGAGTGAAGTACGCTTGCGATGTCAAGGAGGGGCTCCTCAATATCTGCGTCGTCGCTTCGAAGTTCATGAAACCGAACAACGATCAGTATTTTGCCAACGTCTCATTGAAGGCTAACCTCAAACTGGGTGGCACCAACCATACTCTCGACAGCTCCAAGCTTGGCATCGTCGCCAAGGGAAAGACTATGGTCGTTGGCCTAGATGTCACGCATCCGTCACCTGGTTCGACCAAGTCTGCTCCCAGTGTGGCGGGCATCGTGGCTTCGGTGGATAAACGGCTCGGTCAGTGGCCTGGTGAACTGCACATATTACCTGCACGCCAGGAGATGGTCAGCGGGCTGAAAGACATGGTCAAAGCGAGACTAAAGTATTGGCAGCTCAAACACAAAGTACTTCCCGACAACATCCTTGTCTACCGCGACGGTGTCTCCGAAGGCCAGTACCAAGCGGTGCTCGACAACGAGCTCCCGTCGTTCAGAGCGGCGTGCAAGGAGCTTTACACAGCCCAACAAACCAACAAGGGCATCCCTCGCATCACCATTGTTATCGTGGGAAAACGCCACAGCACCCGCTTCTATCCTACCGAGGCCAAAGACGCTGACCGCTCCTCCAACCCACCCAACGGCACCGTCGTCGACCGGGGCATTACCGAGGCTCGCAACTGGGACTTCTTCTTGCAAGCCCACACTGCGATCCAAGGCACCGCCCGCCCGGCCCACTATTTCGTCATCCTGGACGAGATCTTTCGCGCGCACCCTGTACAGGCGCCCTATGCCCACAGCGGCGACGCCCTGGAAGACCTCACCCACAACTTGTGTTACTTGTTCGGGAGGGCCACGAAGGCCGTCAGCATCTGTCCACCGGCGTACTACGCGGACCTGCTCTGTGAGCGCGCACGGTGCTACCTGAGCCGCGTGTTCGATCCAGAGGCGGCGGAAACTGGGTCAACTATCTCTCAGTCCACGCCAGCCACCGATATGGGCAACGCGATACGAATTCACGCAAACGTGAGGGACTCCATGTTTTATGTGTAGTGGCAATGGTGGTGGCATGGATAAACAGGCATGGCGGACGGGCTCGTGCACGGGCTATAAGCAATGATAGTACTTGTCTTCTGCACTCAACACCTCAACAAAAAGGAGACACATCCCAAAATCTTCAAGGCCTCAAAACGTTGGTACCTACAAGCGCAACACAGCATGCGTGACAGAATGTGAGCCTCCCGCACATCGATACCCACAGGACACACTCCCATGTATCTAAGCTTCGCCTGGACGTGGGCTTCTTTCTTGCGCCTCGTTTCCTCTTCCTCTCTCATGCGCTTCAACTCTGAGTTTAACTCCTCTTTCTTCCGGCTGATGTTGAGCAGCCGGATTCGTTCTTGCTCTCGCCTCCGTTTCGGGTCGTCAGCTGCCTCCTCCTCCTCGTCTAGTGGATCTTGCTTGGGTGGCTCCTCCAGCTTTTCTGAGCTCGGTGGCTGCTCCCTGAGAAGCGGTGCTGAGGTCTGTGAGTGCCTTTGTGACGTCCTGCAGTGTCTTGTCGAAGAGCCGGGTTGGGCATCGAGAGCTCCTTTGTCGGCTTGGAGTTGTTCCCCGATTTCATCCGATATACCCGCGTCACGGTGCTTATTTGTGGAGGCCAACTGATTCATTGACTTCGCGGGCTCGGCATCTTGCCCGCCCTTCAAGTCAGGCTCGGGCCCAGGGCCTGTTGTTGCTCTGGTGATGGAGCTAGTAGCTCGTGGAGGAGGCAAAGCTCGTTTGCTTTCAGCAGCCGGTAGTTGAGCAGAGTTTGGACCACATACTGACCCGTGAGATCTGATGTAGAACATTCGACGGACTCTTTCGTTGACAGGATGCCGAGCTCATAGTAAAGCTCTGCAACGGTTGTTTTGCCAGTTCCTGTGCATCCCATTAGTCATTTATTTAGTGGAGATTAGACGAAGCAGTTCTTACCTGGAGGTCGCTTGAAAACGTAGTTGAAGGGAACATGATCTCTTGGATTTTGCTTCCGAGCTCTCAGGTTCAAAGTCAACTGGTATTTTAAAAGAGTTTTGATCTATTCCTGCCCACCGATAATGTCCGCGACAGCCTTGTACACACGCTACTCAAGAGATCGGTGCGATCGAAATCAGGGTCGAAGTCATGCGGCAGAAAGACAACGTCGGCATTGCCGACTTCCATACTTACAGTGTTTTCCATTGTACGCGATTTGTAAGCAGCTTTTGCCCTCGAGACCACGTTTTCGACTTCGCCAGCGTTGCCACAATTCGGTCGGTCTCTACACAAAACGCCGATCGCGACATCCTTGGCCTTTTCAGTTGCTCCCAAGCCTTGTTTGTTGAGCTTGTAGTCGAGAAGGCTCCGGAGCTCATCGTCAGCGAAGTCTTCGAAGTAGAATGCATCACCTGTGGGGAATCGACAGGCAAGTCCCGGGTTGGAGGAATCCAGCATATCCTTCATGTGGCCTTCATACCCGAGCAGTAAGACACATCGATCCTCACGGAGAGTGCTTTGCATCCTTTCGGAGGTCATGCCAAGTAACAGGTGCTGTCCCATTGGTCGTGACTAGTCGCAGCTGCCTTTTCGGACTTCGCTACGATGGAACAAGACATCGGACCAGCCGCCGTCTTGGCAGTTCATCCAACAAGGGCTCCTTGAGGCTTACGGCATTTCGCGGCTTCGGCTCTGTCGAATGAAACTTTGTGATGGAATGCGTAGACACAGTCTGCGCAAAAAGACTCTGAGACATCGTCTCCTGTGTGTCCAGATTTATAGTTGTCAAAGCACAACCCTAGCACTCGTGATGCCGACACTGGACTGGGACATTCAACGAGGTGAAGAGATCAGTGGCTATCGCTTCAAAGACAAGAATCTTTTAGCGCAGGCACTAAGCAGCGCAACTAGAGACTACGATAAAGACACTGGGCAAGTTGTCCACTCCGACGGAAACCGGCGTCTGTCGAAGATTGGCCACAAAGCCATAGAGTTTGCATTGGCGAAGGAATGGTTCCTTCGAGAGCTCGACCACGGTTTGTAACTTCGCAGCCAGAAAAGACAGAGATTGATTGCGCGGTTGTTGTAGGACATCTCGACATGGTCCAGAAAACCATAGCTTCCCGAGAGTACCTCTGTGATGTGGCTCAGCAAAGGGGGCTCCAGAGGTGCTTGTCAATGTCGCAACGTCAGGAGAACATGGCTGCACCCCCCAACACGATGAAAATCGCCCTGACTGCTCTGGTCGGAGCCGTGTGGGTTGATTCCCGTGGCCAAGACACTGGGAACTGGGAAAGCGTCACACAGGTAATGCAAAACCTGGGGTAAGCAAGAAATTTCTCTATTCCGTTCGGGGTCAGTAACAGATCACCAGTATACTGGATTGGGACTTTCTGAACACGCGGCTCGATTAGTTTGATCTGACTGCTGTCGCTCATCAATAGACATTCTTAAGGTTAATGTTAGAGGTTAAACGGTGTGTTAGCGACGCAAGACCAGCCTGAAAGGGTGGAGCCCGACTCGGGCTTTCTAACAACACCCTTTTTGAAGGTCTAGCTAATGTAGTCGTCGCTAGAGGCAGCATCAAAGTTGGCCAATTTTAGGCGACAATAAGGATTCTACCAAGAGTGTGACAGTACTGAGGTTAGTGTGCCCAGAGTGTGACAGTACTGGGGTTAGTGTGCCTAGAGCGTGACAGTACCTAGGTCCACCCCTAAAATCCTTCTTACACCACCATAGACTAGGTTAACTATTATACTTTAGGCCACTATAGCAGGGAATTATTGGGCTCTACTTTCGCCTAATCTATAGATCAAGGCCTTTCTATCTTTTCTAATTTGACTTGAGAGGATTTCAAAAACTTCTAGGACCCCTTATTAGACTACTGTAGCTATCCTCTAATAGTGTCTAAGTATACTCAGACTAAATTTTCTACAGTAAAGAAGGCTACTATAACACACTACTATAAGCTAGCTACTACTCACTTACACCACTACTATAAATAATACTGTTACACTATACTTGAGTAACTACAACAGGATAAGAGAGTTATACACACAGGGGGGTTACCTAACCCTCCCTAAACACTACTACAACTAGGCCTATATATATAAGGCCTTACACTTCCCTAGGATAGTACTTATATTTAAAGCCAACAAGAAGCAGTTGTGATACAAGAGTATAGGGCTCTCTATAAACTATAAGATCTTATACCTAGTCTATTCTACTAGCTACTAGCTACCTAGTCTCTAGTAGCTCCTATTACTAATATTGAATATTTCTTCTAGTATTAGCTAATACCTTCTTTAGTACCCTGACTACCAGTAGTATTTCCTCCTTAGGCCCAGGGCTCTAAGGATACTATATATAGAGACAACTCAGACCAGTTATTATCAGATAACTTAGATCCTGTAGAAGATAGCTATATAGCTAGGGTAGAGAGTCACTCTCTAGACCTACTACCCTAGAACCTTAAAGAAGCTAAAGAAGATAATAAGTCTAACTTCTACCCTATGTCTAAACACTCAGTAGGGTTTAATCAGAGTAATAAAGAGGAGGACCCTATCTTCCAGGTAGTAGATAAACTACTTAACCTCTTTCTTTTTAGTGTCTAAGGCTGTACTAATAATAAGTACTAGACATAGCTGCAGACTTATATAGACACCTATAGAAACAATTATTATAGGCTTAGTAAGGTATTTAACAACCGCTAGTTTCCCTCTATCTTAGCGCGGCTATTATTTCTAAGCCTAGAGGGCCTAGGATAACTTCCTCTCCTGGCGCCAGTTCAGTAGTACACTATATACTACAGAGTTAAACTAGAGTTATATAGCGGTTAACCACTCTAGGTATGTCTCTATTAGAAGGAGACCTAGGCGCTCACTCCTTAAGTAGTGTTTAATATAGACAGCTTCCTAGGCTTTGCTAATTCCTTAGTATTTGTGTGTAAAGGACTCTAGTATTAACTAGCTCCCTAGTTGTAGCAGAATATAAGTTTAGATATATATATTAATACCACTAGATTCCAGGAGGGTGCTAATCCAGATAATAACAGTAGTACTATACCCCAAGCCACAGCTACTATGCTTTATAATATTCTACACTTCCTTCTTAGGCGGTTAAAGAGTACCTATAATATTATAGTATATATATTGTTCCTATACCTTGTAGCCCAAGGTAAGAAGTTTCAAGCGCTTATTACTAACTAGTTCACACAGTGGTTTAACCAGGTATTCTATCTAGCTGTGTACTAACACTATATAGCCTACTATAACTAGTATCTTCCTCTAAGCTTCTAGGTTATAATAGCTAACTCTAAGGCAAGGCAAGTGAAAGGTTAACTAATTAAGATAACTAGTTACTAGGCGTAACAGTCTCTTAGCTACTATCTCTAGCCACATTATCTTGAACCTATCTAGGATAATATAGTAAGCACCAGTACTTATACTATCAGCCTTAGAGACTTTTATAAACTATAGCTGTTCTTTAGTACTAAGGGTACTAAGCTACACTTTAAGTCTATACCTTACTAACCTAACCTTCTAGATATAATAGAGCAGTTTCAGATCTATCTTGCTAATATAGTAAATATAGAGTATGTTAATAAGGATTGCTTCTTTATAGACCTAGTGAAGGAGATATGCCCTAGTGTGAGTGTCCTCTAGGCTAAGACACTTAGGTTTAATAAACAGCCCTAGACCTATCTATAGTGGCGCTACTATTAAGAGACACACACATAGTATATCTACAACTAGTAGCTACTAAAGAAGGGTAGCTAGGGCTAGCGCTACTACACCTAGAATATACTAGGGGAGGCTAGTACCCTAACCAGTATCCCTCCTAAACACTCGCTTCTCTTCCACAGTAGGGTACAGTACTTTCAACTATATATATCTATTAAGGAGGTGTAGGATACAGTCAAGACTATACTATTTAATAACAACAGACTTGAGGAGATCGCGCTTAATCCCTAGATTCACTAAGGAGCCTAATATACGCTTGGCAGCCAGTCCTGTAACTTATAGATTATAAAGCAGGTGTATCTCACCAGTAAATATCGCGCCTACTAAGCTCTCTATAATTCAGCGTAGAAGTTATTTAGGATCTAGGAGGAGTACTGTATCTTGTGGCAGCTCTTCTATCAGCTACAGGCATAGCTTACTGCGCTAGCCAGGGCTAACTTAGCCCCTACACTAGATAACTATCCCCTATATACCTAGGCTGTTAAGACTGAGGTGTTCCTTAACTTTCTCTAGTGTAGTATTAATAAGTTTATAACCAGCTTTAAAGTGGTATGTACCTATACGCAGCAGAATCTTGTTATATAGGAACAGACTAAGATAATAGCTATGTTTCTTTAGTGCTTGCAGTTTGTCCTAGGTGGTTACAGACTAGAGCGTAAGTCTGCGCTCTAGTAGAGCCAGTGTGATTGTATAGTCAGGGAGGACATATATATCTAGTATAGCCTTAGCTTTAGTAACACTCTTATACGCTATAGGTACTACTGGCTTAAGCCCTATATTAACTAGGTCTACCTAGTCTTTAAGCCTACTATTATAGACTGGGTACTCTTTAGTAATAACATACTTAAAGGCTAGTACCTCCGCTACAGTGGCTAAGTGCAGGACTTCTTCTAATTAATATAATACCTAGACCTAGCGCTATAGTAGCTAGCTTAATATTAGGCACACTATATTATCTGTAACTAGCTGATCTTCTAGATTATATATATTTACCTGTAGCAGTTCTAGGTAGATATACTTACAGCTATCTTCACTAAGATCAACAAAGATATGTGCTATAAGGCCCTAGAAGGAAAAGAGCCCTTTTACTATAAGTACTTTAATAAGATCATGACTAACAGTGTATATTTGTCCTCTAGTAACTACTCTAACTTTAAGATAGTGCTCTATCTCAGTGAGTTCTTATTTAGCTATAGTACCAGTAATATATAGAGCTAGCAGTTCTAGGAGTATAAAGTATTCTAGAAGATATATCAGTAGGCCTATACCATATTACAGGTCTAGTTTAGGTATAAGTCTCTAGTCACAGTACAATTTAAACAGCACTTCTAGTGGTGTCTATTTAGCTACTATTAGATCCTCCCACACCTGAACTAGAGGACTATACTCTAGAAGACTAATAGTAAGTGTGTATAGTTTTCTATTCACACTACTATCACTACTAATCTTATTCAGCTGCCACTAGATAGCTAAGAGTGGGTGTAGAAGAACTGGTAGCTAGGCTATCTAGTACCTTTACTAGACTTTATAGTGTAGGAGTGAGATGCCTAGGAGGCATAGTTTAAAGAACAGATAGTGTAGAGTATCTTTTATAAATAGAGCTATATATAGTATAGCACTAATTATAATAATTAATAGCTTAAGGCTAGAGGGCAGGCAGAGAGGAGGGGGGCCTGTTTAAGATAGATATTATAGACTTACCCTTACCCGCCTCTACTCGCCCCTACCTGCCTCTCTATAACAGGGGTGAAGGTAGGGTTATGTCACTATTACTTCATTCAGTATTAAGGCAATCATGTCTTGGCATTTGCCTAACACTAAGGTATTGTTAATCACCCCTACATACTCAAGTTAGGGATTAAAGGAGGGCAATTCCCTTATACATATCTATCCTTACACCTATCAAATACTTGTTCTACTATACTAATACTATTAATATAATTATACCTATCTTTTCCTTATACTAGCTATACTAGCCTCTATATTACACTCTAACACTAGATATTCTTAGATCACCCTAGGGAAGGTGGGTATACTATTAATATAGAATAGTAGAGAGGTTTATAGTGTTACTATCTATTAGGTAGACAACTTAAGAGGCCTTTTTAAATATTGTATTGAAGCCTTGCTATAAAGGCACACAGCCCTATATATTACCTATAAAGCAGATAATAGTGGGTAATATATAGTAGGCGGGAAGGGGGCCTATCTATAATACCTGTCACTTTATAGCCTTAGCCAGCCTTATTACCTTGTGAATGTTATCTATACTAGCCTCACTACCTTGTAGGTGCCAAGACCT